GCAAGTCTCCATCTCTAACTCGTGGTTCCTTGCTTTGGCTCTTTAGTGTGTAATTTCATAAGAAACCTTCTCTCTCTCTTTTTTTTGTCTGTTGCATTCTTTCTGATAAACATGAAAATGCTTTTGTTTCAGAGTGGTTAACACAGCCCCAAGCAGTGTTGCATTTCTGTTGTAGAAATCGTCAGTGATCCTTTTTTCTCAGGGAAGACTTTATGTAAAGGTGAGTATATACCTTTAGGAAAAAAAGAAAGGTGTTTTCCTGTCAGGAAAAGTAACCGTCAAGGAAGGGAACCAAGTGATGGTTATATTGTCTTTTCCTTCCCTCTGCACTGAGCTGTTGTGATGGATATGCAGTACGTAGGTGACGAGAGGGGCTTAGTTACTGTCCCGCCAGCTCCAGACAGAAGTTTCTCCCTGAAAACTTGCTGTCAGCAGGCAGCACTTCACCCAGATACGGGAGGCCCTGCAGCAGTGCTTTTAAAGATTTTTTTTTTTTTAAGGTCAAGTCTTTTATTGATTTATTTATTCTTAGCCGCGTTGCGTCTTCGTTGCTGCATGAGGGCTTTCTGTAGTTGCGGTGAGCGGGGGCTACTCTTTGTTGCAGTGCGCGGGCTTCTCATGGCGGTGGCTTCTCCTGTTGTGGAGCACGGGCTCTAGGTGCGTGGGTTTCAGTAGTTGTGGCATGTAGGCTCAGTAGTTGTGGCTCACGGGCTCTAGGCGTGCGGGCTTCAGTAGTTGTGGCTCACGGGCTCAGTAGTTGTGGCTCGCAGGCTCAGTAGTTGTGGCTCACAGGCTCAGTAGTTGTGGCTCACAGGCTCTAGAGTGCAGGCTTCAGTAGTTGTGGCATGTAGGCTCAGTAGTTGTGGCTCACGGGCTCTAGGCGTGCGGGCTTCAGTAGTTGTGGCTCGCGGGCTTCAGTAGTTGTGGCTCGCGGGCTCAGTAGTTGTGGCTCACGGGCTTAGTTGCTCCGCGGCATGTGGGATCTTCCTAGACCAGGGATTGAACCCGTGTCCCCTGCATTGGCAGGTGGATTCTTAACCACTGCGCCACCAGGGACGTCCCAGTGCTTTTATTTTAAATGCTGTTTTATCTTGGGTGATAGGCGTAACCAGCACTAAGGAGGGGAGGAGTCTTTTTTAAGGAAACACTTGCCTTTATAAAATTACGGCCGTGTTGGCTGCAGCAGCATCAGAATTCCAGCTGCCTACTGATTGCAAGTGTAAAGTTTTGTTTTTCAGAGTTCTGATCAGGTGAGAACAGACAGCCATAGCTGGAGGCATCAGACATTGTTGCTGGAAGTTTTGACTCAAATGTGTTTTGATTTTTATGTGTGAAGCATTGGAGACCGAGGGAGGACCTGGACTGTGAATGAAAGCTCCTCATCTCAGAAGAGCTGCCGTCTGTGGAGAGGCTGAGAGGAAGTCACCTTAGGAAGGGGCCCAGGCCCTGATGGCGCTTCCACCTTATAGTTGAGGGCATCCGAGCTCACATGGGTGATGAAGACTCCCTCAGGGGTGCCTGCTGTCCTGTGCCCTGCTGTGCCTCCCAGCCGGGCTGGGCTCCGTGGGGAGTGGGGGCCATGAGGACACCTGCAGCTGAGCACGTGCTGTCCAGGTCTCCAGCCCCTCTGAACCTTCGCTCTCAGTTATTCAGCTGTCCACTTGTTTCTTCTGGGGCTCCTCTGGTGCCTGCAGCCCGCCACTTGGTGGCTGTGTGATTGTAGCTCATGTGCTTAGCCTCTCTGGACCTCCTTTTTCTTTTTTCCCCTGTGCAGTGGGGCTGATGGTAGTACCTAACCCTTAGTTTGGGGAGTTAAATGCTGAACCGTCAGTATCTGGCACGTGGTAGACCATCATATATATTAGTTAGTTATTACTGTGTGTTAGTTTGGTCACTACATGCCCAATTTTTAGGTTCAGGAGCTTGATGTTAGCAGTCTTCTCAGGTTTGATAAAATTCTGTGGACTTATTCACACCAGCCAAAATTAGCTGAACGACTGAACAGAATGCTAATGTGTTCATTCATTAAGGGACACCCCAGTGACGACTCTACCCACATGTTCTGTGTGATGTCAAGGTCACCAGGCAAACTAACTAATAGTTATTTATTAATACTTATTTAGTGCAAATGAAATCAAATCAAAGGTCATTTTTATTGGCTACTTTATTTAGGCTCGACAGACCTGCAGAATTTTTTCTTTAAAAACATCAATAGAAATATTATTACTTCTCTGTAGACAGCTGTTGCTTGCTGGAGACCTGTATCTGTAACCTTGGGTTTACTCTATTTAAAAAAAAATCTTCTATCTCAACATTTTATGTAAGATCAGTAGCTGAACCACATTAATAATGGAGGGTTAATATTTGTAGTTTTCTTTGTACCTATAAAGGGTAGTAATCTGTACGCGAGGGACTTTGATGAGGGTGACCAAGGATACGGGGGGCTGTCTCCAGGCTTGCCTCCATCTAGTCATTCTAGATGCTTTCCTTTGTTCTTGCCCAGCTGGGGTGGGCAGCCCCTCTCAGCCACAGATGCTGCCTCTGTTCCTTCAATATCTGGTAGTTGGGAATTACTTGTTGGCCATTCTCAGAGAAGCTGGTGCTTTCGTGTCTTTTGGGACCTGTAGGTGTATCTAGCTGTTCTATTCTCATCACAAATGATGTATTTAGAACGACCCAGTTATCAAAATGATTGAGTGCTACGGAGGGTAATTTAGAGAGGTATAAGGGTGGGCCTTCAGAGGAGACTGCTAGGTGCAGCGTAAAGATGATTTCAGGGTGGCGGTGGTGAAAGGAGCGGAATTCTGGGATAAAAATGTGACTCCCATAATAAAAACTTAAATGTAGGTAACCGAATTTCCAGACTAAGTGTTGTTTTCTGAAGTGCTGTCTTAGGGGCCTGTGGAGGAGGTTGGTCGGTAGGAAGAGTGAAACCTGGAATGGGGGTCCCTGAGTGACTTCACGGGGCTGGGCCCCTGGGGGATCCTGGGGCCCAGGGAGCCATGTGGAGAGTGTTGAGCACCATGTCTGGGGCAGAGTGCGTGCCGAGGGAGCCTTGGCTGTTACTGGCGTTGACCCGAACCTGCGTACAGATTCTGAGTTGAGGGGCATCTCTCCCGTGCATCCTTACTTACGGCTTTTAGGGTTGCCAGACTAACATGGAGATGGAGACATTTATTTTTAAAGGATATCAGCCTCATTTTTTTTTTTTGCTGCTTGATCCAAGCCAGACAAAGAAGACTCCTAATTCATTAAGCTTTCTCAGCTCTCACCCCGTAACCGTGGTCCTGCTTCATCCCAGAGTCTGTGGTTCAGTGGTGTTCTTCTAACACACATGCTCACTTACCTGTGTTTCTCCCCGGGGCAGGGGGAACAGGGAGGGCGGGTGGCCCAGTGGGCAGGGTCTGGGCGAGCACAGTAAAAGCTTCGTCACTAGAAACGTGCCTTATAGTCTCGTTTTTCCGGTTTAACTTTCGAATGGTTACACCGTTAACCCCATTCTATCAATAATATTCCATTTGCCTTACTTTTCTTCAAATAAATACTTCCCAGTTCATAATTTTCAGTGAAGGTTAGGCTAGTGGACTGGGACGTGGGCAGAAGCTTGACTGCGATGGTCTCTGAGCTGCAGGAGAAACTTGACGTCTGAGAGCGAAAGCCACTGCGAGGAAGAAAGCGAGGACTGATTTATCCGACTGGGTTTTAACAAGATTTTGGATGGATTCTGGATACATCTGGAGGTGGAGAGACTCCATGTGTCAGACGTGGTGGGGAGAGAAAGGCGGCCGTTGAAGAGCAGCCCGGCCGAGGCTTTTTGCTGCAGGAGGCCGAGCACAGAACCTCGGGGTCGGGTCGCAAGTGCTCCTCAGGAGTTGGCGGGGAGCTGTGCTTTGTTCTGTGTTCAAGGGATTAATGGGGTGCACAGGAACCCTGGACCTCACCCTCTTGCATCCCCAGATAAAGTGTAACCTGCCAAACAAACACGGATTCTCTTTGATGCGGTGATTCCCAGTCTGTGGGATGTGAACTGCTGAGTCTTTTTTTTTTTTTTTTTTTGCGGTGCGCGGGCCTCTCACTGCTGTGGTCTCTCTCGTTGCGGAGCACAGGCTCCAGACGCGCAGGCCCAGCGGCCATGGCTCATGGGCCCAGCCGCTCCGCACATGTGGGATCCTCCCGGACCGGGGCACGAACCCGTGTCCCCTGCATCGGCAGGCGGACTCTCAACCACTGCGCCACCAGGGAAGCCCCATGCTGAATCTTATTTTTATGGTGATAGCAAAGGACCTAAATAACCATCTCGTAATTGATTGAAAAGAAAAGAAAAAAAAAAAGGAAGCCATGGGAGGGAGCCTTCCACAGTCGCATGGGCTTCAGCCTGCTTGAAGTAGTCTTTGGTTGACATTCTGTCGAATTTTTCTCTAGAAGTAAGATTTTAAGAAAAATCTAAATTGTGTCTGTTGATTTGGGGCAAGTAGTTCATAGTGAAAATTACTTACAATTTACATTCCGCTAACGTTGAGTTTCCATTTATTCCCATTCATGGTAGGATTGGGGTTAACATTTCCCCTTTGCTTTTAGAACAGTCTCTTCATTTAGGCTTTGTAATCTCAGGATGGGATGGCACCTCAGGGGCAGATAGGCATGGACTTCAGAGTTCAGTGGATCTGGGTTTGATTCTGGGTTTGCTGCATAGCTAACTGCTTGAGCAAGATACTCAGACTTTGTGAGTTTTAAAGACCAAATCTTGAGAGTTGGGTTTGGTCATAGTATCCGCTTCACTGGGTTGTTATAAAGACGCCATAAAACGATGCCTGTCCAGGTGTGCCTGGCATTTGCTGACGGCTCTGACGTCAGGTGCTCTACCGCCGTTACCTGATACTTGAGACACGTAAGAAGGAGACAGATTGTAAATAACTTGTCCCAAGTCACATAATTAAATTTGAAGACATCATTTTAGGATGTTGTTTTTCCAAAAATGTATCATTTTGTTTTCCTTTTAGGATTTGGAGTTCCATGGAGTGATGAGATTTTATTTTCAAGATAAAGCTGCTGGGAACTTCGCAACAAAATGTATCCGGGTCTCTAGTACCGCCACCACTCAGGACGTGCTGGAAACGCTCGCGGAGAAATTCCGCCCTGACATGCGGATGTTGTCATCACCCAAGTACTCCCTGTACGAAGTGCATGTCAGCGGAGGTCAGTGGACACAGACGGGGCTTGTCGGCCATGTGTGCTCATCTGGAGACTATCACAGTCACTTGTCCCGGGGGCCCTGCTTTACTGCTGACCCCCTCTTTCTTTTTCTGGAGGGGCTGGGGAAGCAGTTAACAGGTTGGCAAAACTCGAGTATGTCTGCGAAATGTCCTCATAAGTTCCTACCTAGTAGGTGCATTTGTTGGGAGTTAGAATGAATAGATCAGTTTTACGTATGCTCACTTCTCCAGAGATAAGTAGCATAACGTTTCATAATTGAAATTCTCCAGCAGATCAGTCACATACATTGATGGTACAGTAAGCTGCTTAATTTTGGAGAAGTATTTCATGTAGCTCTTCTGCATAGATTATAATATTACAATTAACGATAACCCAGTGTTTTATGAGTACAGTATTTTATGAGTAAAACCCAGTGTTTTATCATGCTTGCTGTAATACTTTTGTAACGTGAAACAGTAACGTTGTTCTTTGGGAACAATTAGGGCATCTTGAGGAAACTCTCATTTCTCCTTGTTTTAAGATTTGAAATTTCTGAAAGTATCCTATATATCACATGGCAATTGAAGTTGAACTCATTAGAAATGTAGAAATTTATAAAATTTTTTATGAATGCTTTTGAAGTACTGAGTCACCTGTTTAAAAAAAAAATAACAAATTCCAGTTAATGCAGTAAACAAAGGATTGTATATAGTACAAGCCCAATTTGAATACCTGTTTAAGTTTCAGCCACAGAACCTGTTTGAACATAATTTATTTTTCTTATCTTCAAAAGTACAGCTTTCTTTGTACATTTGAAATTGGGCTAAAATTTTTGTAGTGTGTGGAATTCAGGTGTCACCAAATGCTACCAGTATTATATTAGGTAGGCTGTACTTGTTTATCACTCTTTTAAGGTTACTAGGGTATCACCTACATAAATAATACCCAAACTAAATTTGACAATAGCGGATGGTCTCAATTTTGGACGTTTTTTTGAGGTTGAATTCTCCTTTTACCTCACAATCTTTTTAAATAGGTTACAAAGAGGAATAAAGTATTTCTCACTTTCAGCCCTCTTCTCGCTGCACCATTGGGTCATTTGAATGCTGCCAAGTGAGGTCTTTGAAATGCTATCTAAGATTGGGATTTGAGATCTAAAAATGGAATGGGTTTGATTTTTTTTTTAAAGAACATTTTTTCTTTAAACTTTCTTTGCTAGATTTGTTTTTAATTAAAAAGTAAAATATGTTACTTGTAAGGGATGAAAACACAAGGAAGCTGTGTAAAGAAGGAAGTGTTCCCCATCTCCCCCCGCCCCTGCAGTGACCACTAGGCTGGCCTGGCCGTGTCCTTCTGCACCTTCATACCCCGCCAGGGTCTCAGAGAGGAGCAGACCCTGGCGTGCAGATTCTCAATCTCTTTCGGGTCACGGAGCCCTTAGTGTGTCAGTAATTGTTTTAGTGGCATCTCTAGGCCAAAGGAAATACCTAACAGTTCATTTTACTGCATAGATTCAGACAAGTTCATCAGGATTTATGCTTTAACAGCTTGGTGGGTGTTTGAAAAAATAGTACAGATCAGATGAAAGGAAAACTGAAAATTTCATCCCGTTCTTAATCACAGTTGCTCCCTGACGGGGCACGTGCGCCTCCTGGGCCCTGCGCAGCTCCTGCGTGGGGGCAGTGCCCTCCTTTCCTGTTCACATTGGTTTGCGGGCAGCGCTTGTTCCTACAGCGCCGTGGAAAGCCCGACGTGACCCTGGTGGGACAGTGCGCAACCTGGTGGGAACCAGCAGCTCCTGCCGCATCCGGCAGGTGCAGCTCGTTTCGCTGGAAATGTAACGTGCTCCTCAGTGAGCCGCTGGACACCGCAGCTGCTGTGTGAACCAGAGCGCTGGCCCAGCACCATGGAAACGCCACTCTCAGCCCTTCTCTGCGTTAGGGTTCCTTGTGTGAAATCAACTGGAAAAGTAAAAAGGATTCTGCTCTTCTAACATAAGGCAGAAGATACCTTAAGTTATAAAGTTGTAGCAGGGCCCTACCTATATTTGCATGCGGTAGTTAGGCACGTATGCTTTAGAACAGCTCACCTTGTTTTTGTTTTATGATTTAGACTTAATTGTTCTTAAGATTGGTTCTCTAAAAAGCATGCCATGAGGGATTTTGATCTAGTGAAGATTCTGCGACACGAACAACTTGGTAATTTTGGTTTTGCAGCAGGAATTTGGAACTTCTTGATCCGATATGTGACTTACTACTCTTTTCTCATATTTTCAGTTGATAAAATAATGACTTAGAATTTGTTTTTCCTGTATTCTGATCATTAACACTGCTGTTTACCTATAATATTCACTGAAAGCCTCTATAAACTCTGTCTTCTCAGTTTGCCCCGTTGACTTGCTTCCTGTACCATTGTCATCCACCCCCTCTGGTCTCACTGCTTCCTGTCTTTGCTGCCCTCGTTGTGGTGCATCCTGTGTGCATTTACCTGGGTAATCCTTGCCAGCTCTCGGCTTCTAGTAGGTGGTCAGGCTGTGTAGGGCCCTCAGTGGGCTGCCATGAGGCTTGTTAGGTTTCTAGTAAGGGAGGAAGTAGTCACTTAACATAGCACTTCATCGACAGAGAAAAGGCTGGTGCTTCATGGTGGGAGGGGCTGTGCGGGTCGAGGAGTGTGGTTTTGGAGACGAGGATCAGAGGTGCAGGGGGAGGAGGGAGAGTGCAGTGATCGCTTCCAAGACTGATGGCGGTGGTGCCGTTTCTTGACAGCGTCTTAACATTAACATGAGAAGAAAAATCCCATGAATCAGTGGAACTTCTGTGTGATATGAACATTATTTCCGTATTTTCCAGTTGTATGTGAGGGAATTTGATTTATAGAAACAAACGTATGGCAAAACCCTGCTTATAATTTTTTCTAGCCCATGTGTATTTCTCTTATTTTCTGGGTTACATTCTAAATGTTGTCAGGAAGCTGTGCCTGGTCCGTGTCTGGCATTGGACACGTGATAGTACACATATAGTAGCACCAAAATACTGAATTAGTCATTGAAACTCTAACTTCACATTGTGAATTACGCTTCAGCCTATCGGTAAGTAATCAAGGCAATTAGGTATTTTTGGTCTATAAAATTTAATGTGTATCAGAACGTTGCATTGGCTAGTGCCATTAGATAACCACGGCTTCTTTCTTTTCCTTTTCATGTTGTGAAGAAGAAAGAAGATTGGATATAGACGAGAAACCCCTTGTTGTGCAGTTGAATTGGAATAAGGATGATCGAGAGGGCAGATTTGTTCTTAAGAATGAGAACGATGCCATTCCTGCTAAGGTGAGGCCTTGGGTCTCGGCCCGTGCTGTGCCTGGCCTGCGTCTGACCACGTGTCGTGTCAGAGGGGTTCATTCTGTGTTTCGCTTCTCTTCCTGAACTACCCTTTTACCCCCGTCCTGGAATATAATTTAAAAGTAGCCCAGCTTCTCCCTGCTTCATCCTCTGTTTCACTGAGTAATCCAAAATATTACTCCTTCCTTTTCAAAGAAGAGTTATGTAAGCTTTTGTTCCTAAGAGACTTAATGTTCAAATCAGCTTCAGGTTTTTTCCCCTAAATTATAAAGTCAAAATAGGTTTTAATAAGAATCAGAAGGGAAAATAAAACTTTAATAACCTATTTATATGTGAACTTTTAGATACAACTTAATAAGGCATATTTAAGACCTTTTTCATGTTATGTGTGTAAGGTTAGAAATTAGTAAACTTCCTTGCGTTTCTTTGGATGATGAAATAGAGTGAGTCTAAAACTTTCTCAGGTAGTAGGATGTCTGGAATTCCTGTGCTACTGTCCTTTTTATGTGGAATACTATGAAATATCGATACAATTTTAAAACAATTATAATTCTGTTTTAAGTCAAGTGGCCTCTTACACTAGAATTCAGTATTGACAAGTGACAGCAAATGCAGAGGTTAAGGATATTTTGAGAAAAATCTTGTATTTAATTTTGTGCCCCAGCAGACTGGGGGGCAAGTACCATTATTTACTTAGGGCAGCAGTTTTCACGTCGTCTGTGTCATGTCCTCTGTGTTCCTGTTCCTGCGCTCCAGGGACTTTTATTGCCGTTGTGGCGAACACATATGATACAAGAACGGATACTTGTGTGTGTGTGTGTGTGTGTGTGTGTCCATGTTTTATTTTGTTTCTGCACCATGGTTTCAGCTGATGTACCTTTTCACGGAGCCACAGATCCTGCTTGCTATGTAGTAGAACTCTTCTGGGGTCAGGATGACAGGAGGGTGCTGGAGTAGCTTGCAAGGAAACGGAGATGCTCACTCAGAAAGCAGAAGGCAGTTTTCTTTCCCAATAAGATAATCTTTTATTTTTCTTGATTCTTTACCAGCCAACCTATTAAGTCATATAAAAATAATTTGTCTCTGTGTCATCTGCTGGCAGGCCAAGTTATAAATTACGAATAAGGAAACAAGTAAGATCTGGAAAAGAAATGAGCAGTTTTTGTACAAACACAGTACTTACAACTTTGCTTCATAAAATCCAGTTTATTAGGGCTACTCTTAACATTTCTTTTGAAGTTAAAGAAAACATATTTAAAGTAGACGATGATTCAAACACTTAGTTACTTCCATATTTTCATTAGTTTCCTTTTATTTAAGTTACTTCATGTAAATTATTTGGATTTTTATTTATTAAAAATAATAAACTGGTGTGATTCCAACCTGTTTTCTAACTGGGTTTGGATTTTCTTGTGTGTTTGCTTCCTTGGTTATAGTTTTGAATTAAGATACAATTTACACAAGGTGAAATGAGATCTCGAATGTGTACGTTTTGATCAGTACACTCACGTAACTGTCGGCCCATCAAGACAAAGAACGCTTCTCACCCCAGTCCTTGCCCTGCCCCGGTGGCTCTGTTTCTGGCCGCAGCGTATGAGGTGAAGTTAGCCAAGCCATAGATAGCTAGCTTTATGTCATTCTGTGTCATAGCCAGTGTAGTGATAATGTTACTTTTATCAGAAGGCTCAAAGTAACGGACCTGAAAAGCAGGAAAAAGAAGGTGTTATCCAGAACTTCAAGAGAACTCTCTCAAAGAAAGAAAAGAAGGAAAAAAAGAAGCGAGAAAAAGAGGCAATGAGGCAGGCGTCTGATCGAGACGATAGACCTTTCCATGGGGATGACACGTAAGTTAATTTTGGAAATATTCCTGTTTCTTTGTGTTCTAAGCCCGGTGTTTTTCATGCAGCAGACCTCATTAAATTACCAAGTAAAGGTCGAAGAGGGTGCGCCTCAGGTAAGTGCCTTGGGGCTCGTGCTGGGTCCTCGGCGTCGAGGGAAGCCGGTGGGGCTCTGACTGAGCTGCACGCGTCGCTCACAGGGCTGGTCTCGCTGTGCGCGCTCTTCTTAAAGATGCGGACTGATGAACGGTATTGCCGTTGCTGGGTAGACTGGGTGTCAGGGTGTTCTTCGTCTCTGCCTGGCCTCTCCTTTCCTTTCTGTTGTTTTGGTCCTTAAGGCAGTAGTGGATTCTTAGACACCTCAGGTACGCTTAACTCCTGATCAGAGGTTGGCAAGACCAGTGAGAAAAGCTGGTGTTCGCTTTTCAGGTTCAAATGCACCATCAGGTTCACTCCGGCCCCCGCCCGCCCCCCTTCCTTATTCTCGCACAGCAGCCCCATCACAGGTTACCTTACCTGTCGGAAGGGATTTGAGCTTCTGACCTCGGAGCTGAGGGCATAAGGGAAACCGCTGTGTTTCGTTATAACAGAAAGGAGACATGAGCAGAAGCTGGCCTTTCCTCCTCGCTTGCAGTCTCCGGGCCTCAGTGTAGCCTTGTCAGTTTCTAGTTCAGTTCATTCTCTTATCGTGGTTTCTCTTAGGCCTCCTCCTTGCCTTAGAGTTGAGGGCATAGTGTTCTGTTTACAGCTTAGTTTAGAAAGTCAGAGTAGATAGATTTGCCAGAAAGGGAAAAGGAGCTTCTTGTCACGCATGAGCCCAAAGGGAGCCGTAGTTTGTTCATGCAACACAAATATATGAGCTTCATATATCTATGTAGAGAGTTTTTAAACAAGCATAATCAGTCTTTTGAAACCAGAACTTTTCACGTGACATTTTCCCACTGAAATTGTATGTATTTCACATAAATACACACAGTCAAAATATATATATTTTCACAAAAAACATACATATTAAATAATTTAAATGATTGTGCAGTATTCTATCATATAGTTTTCCCATAATTTATGAAACCAGCCCTTTTCATGTACTTGTGGAGAGTTCACAGGGTTTTTTTCGTATTATAAATGATACTCCGGTGAATATCCTTGTTTTTACAATTTTGAGGACTCATGTGAATATTTCCTGAGGAAATGCTCTGGAAGAATGGCTCAGAGACCCTTTGGGATGCTTGTGTTGCCAGACAGCCCCTGGAAAGGTCTGCACAGCCCACGGGCCCTCTCGTTTCCATAGCCTTAGTACTGCTGGGTGTAACAGGGCAGAGTACGGTCTCTGCAGTATGTGAGACCTTCAGTAACCCGAGCTTACCGTATCATTAACAAGGCGGATGTCTCTCTGCACGTTTATTGACCGTTGATATTCTGCTGCTGCTGCGGTGACCTCTTCAAGTCTTTTTTCCATTTTTTGGTTGATTCTAAGTGTTGTGTGTGTCTTGAGGATATTAACCATTTGTCAGTGAAGGGAGTTTACTTTAGAGTGGAATTTGAGCCCATCGTAGAGTGCATCCAAATGGATTTAGATATTAATCTGTTAGGCAGAGACGCCTATGGGATGCACATGAACTCTTGACTGTAGTATTACATAGTAAGGCTCTCCTTAGTGTATTTATGCAAGAGAAAGAACTTGTATACATAGATTGTTCATATATGAAAAATATCAAGGAAAAGGAGAGTTTAGAACTTAGGCTACAGTTCTATTTATTTAGTTTATAGGGGGATAAATTATTTGTGTTAAGGAAATGAGCTACTTAAAATGAGTTAAGTTTACCTTGATTGATTCGAAGCTTGGCTGACTTAATGAAATTATTTTGTGATTTTAAAAATGGCATCCTTAAAGTATATTTATCAAAATTTAGTCAAGCACATCAGTCTTACCTAAATATTTAGTTTTCAACTCATCATTCTATACAGTTGACTCGTTATAGGAACTTATGGAGCAATTTCCTTTTAAAACTTTCGCTTCAAGAGAGTGAATGGTGGTAAATCTCTTAGTTGTTAAAAAATCAGGCTGTTTGAGTTCTTCAAGATTACTGTAATTTGAAGACAGATTTTTACTAAAGTATGTTCAATCCTTTATTTCTAGTGGTTGGAATGTTGTATCCGTCATTTAGTCTATTATAAGATAACCGTGGTAGAAAGAACTGAAATGTATGATTTATACATTCTAGCTTTATTAATGAATACTCAATAATTGAGTTCTGTAAACTCACTATAAAATTTTAATTATAAATTTCTGCTTAGTTCTGTATTTCAGCTTGTATGGAGAGGAAGTGTATTCCCCGTCCCTAGTAATTGGCCCACGGTGAACGGTGCGCGGCAGAACTGTGTAGGCAGATAGCATCTGCCATTTTGGTTTTGTATGATTTCAGTATAATTGTTTCTGATGTAAAATTCTGAAAATCTTGTTATTGCCTTTCTTTCCTTACAGTGAAAATTCTCGACTGGCTGCTGAGGTTTACAAAGACATGCCTGAAACTAGCTTTACCCGAACGATTTCTAATCCCGAGGTGGTTATGAAACGACGGAGACAACAAAAACTGGAAAAGAGAATGCAGGAATTTCGGAGCTCAGATGGGCGGCCTGATTCAGGTGCAGACTTTGAATTGTTTTTCTGTTATATTTGTTGTAAAGTCTATTAATTTAATAATCCTTTTCATATATGCATGAGGCCCTGAATAAGTGAAGTTAATGGGTGATGTAGCCTCTTCGTAGCAAGCGTGTGCCATGTGTGTCTGGTACAAAGTCAGTTTTGCCTTCAATACGTTTACTTACGTATTTATCCCCAGTATGGCTTTTTTTTTTAATGCTGGAAAATGTCAAGTATATACAAAAGAATAGAGACATAATGAACTTCCCATGTGTTTATTACCAAGCAAGCTTCCATAATTAACACGTTTCATCTCTGCTTCTACATATATTGCTTTCATTCCCAGACTGTGTTATTTTTGAATCAAGTCCCAACTTTCTCATTATCTCATCCATAAATATTTTGATATATTTTCCTGAAAGGTAACAATTCTAAAAAGGCAAAAACAGAAATAAAGCAAACCATAGTACCACTATCACATAGAAAAGAATTGACAGTAATTCCCATCAGATACCTGGTCATTGTTCAGATTTTCCTGATTTGCTTCAGGTAATTCCTGTAGTTGAGCCAGGATACAAATAAAACCTAAATGTTGCATTTGCAATTGGTTAATTCGTCTTCTCTGCCTTTCATTCTAAAATCTCCTCTCCTCTCTTGTATTTTAACCTCTCAGTTTGCTTATTTGTTGGTTTGTTTTAAAACCCTAGGTTGAATGTCTTGTAGGTTTTGCTGAAGGCGTCCAGTTGGGTGGTTTACCGCTGTTTTCCTCTTGTTTTCCTTGATTAGATACAGGTACAGGGTTAGGGTTTCTGGTGGTAGGCGGTGGGACAGGAATATTCACCTTAGTGTCATCCCCAGGTGAGCAGTGGTTCGTAAAATTTTAATAAGCTCCTGGATGTAAAGCTTCTCAATGTTTGTCCATCTTTTGCGATTATTGTCGTTACTGATCCTTGAATGGTGGCTTCGAGCCAGCGGGGCTGTCTTCCAGCTGGCACCCGGGTCTGTGACATGGCCCAGTGATCTCGAGAGCTTCCCTGGAGGATAGGATGTCTGCTCACCTCGTGCTTTCCTGCCCCAGCCTAGGAGTCAGCTCTTCCTCGGAGGAATCCTGTTCCTTTTGCTGGGATAAGTGTCTGGTTGCTAGGAGCGCTCTCTGTTACTGGTTAGTCTTTGCTTCTAAGCCTGTTTAGTGGACAGAGCTTAGGAAATATGTTTTTTTTTACTACTTTGATTTTAGAAAATCTGGGTGTCTTTTCTCTAAAGGTAAAATTCTTCCCTCCTAAGAACAATAGAATAATTATTAACAACATAATTATATTAATCAGGTATAATACCAAAATCAAAATAGGGCTATTATTAATACCAATATGATAGTGAAAACATTTTATTTAAGCCTTTTGTGAAATCTGTGCTGTGTTTGAAATCGCATATTCGATTCCTGTGTATGTGATTATATACCCACATTGATTTATACTTAGGTTTGTTTTATTTTACTTTTGACTTTGAAGGTTTGCTCCTTTAAAATTTAGTGTTGTTTAACAGTTTCTAAGTCAAATCTGCAAAACAAGGTACGTTTAGAGAAGTCCAGCTTTTTTGTCCCTGTGGACCCCTTGAGTCAAAGGCAACATCCTGTACACATGTCCCACTGTGATGTTTCCTGGAGATCACCCTGTATTTCTGAGGGAAATAAAGGTTAAAACGAGAAGTTAAAACAGATGACTACTCTGTGAGCTATAAATTGGTTTTGTGTATTTTTAGCTATTTGATATAAAACTTTTATTTGTAATTAACCTGTAATTATACGCAGCAAGTAAAGTAGTTTTACTTGTTAAAAAATAGTAGCATAATCATTTGTTTCAAAAACAATCCTTGTATTAGAAGGCTGTATCGTTGATCCAGCCTTTCCTAAAAATGTCTGACCTGGTAAGTCATCACCTCTGCGGCTCTTTTGTAGCGCTGCGCTCCTGCTAGCTCACGCACGAGTTTTAAGGTCTGAGTGCTGGGACTGGTGGCTTTTCTCTGGAGCCGGGTTTATAGCAGTTTTGGTTGGGAAGGTTGCTTAATTGTGGGCCCATTCTCTCGGCTCCAAGGCTGAGTCAAAGGGTGTTAGTCCCTATCCAGACCCTCTTATTATCCGATATGTTTATGTGGCAGCAGGTGGGATCTGTCAGGGGAAGCTGTGCTCACACTCGCGTCATACTCGTGGGAGCAGCGTTATTCTCTATTTTACTAGTGGTCTCTCTTACCTTACCTCCATTCACGAGGTAGTCTGTGGACCATGGTTCTGAAATGCATGGTTGCTTGATTCTGCCCACTTGACAGAAATTGCTGGCGACCCCATTTCTTGTGAGCTTGCCCAGAGCTTTGTGTTAGGGTGGCGTGTCATACAGCACCAGCCACGGTGGGAGCCGGCCCTGAAACCTGGTTGTCTCTCCAGCACCACGGGTTTGCTTTTGACCCTTAGTGCCTGTATGAAGTGGTCTCAATTATATGTTTCGTGGGAATTATAGTATCGGTGATTCAAAAAAACTAGGACACTGAGAGACTTATTAGTTCTATAAATAATTTGATAGATGGCTTTTGAGACCTAAATGATTATCTGTTTGTATATATTCTGTCTTGTTCAATCAGGAATTGAAAAAGACAAGAAAAAGAAAGTAAGGAGGAAGGAGGGAGAAACTACAAAGGTGAGGAAGGAGAAATGTAGTAAAAGTTTTAGGAAGGACGAGAGGAGTGCTCAGAGGTACCTGCCACGTGCTGACCACGCTTCCGACCACGGGAAGGAGTCTGGCATCGTTATTCCTCAGTGACCCCTTGAGGAATATTCAAGTATAGGCTCAGGGGTATGTGAGTCAGACTAAGGAGAGCTGGCTTAGAGTGTCGGTTTTTATAAGTAACTTAACAAAATCTTTTTATAAAAAGTATGTCTTTAATGTGGTCAGGGTGCAACGTTATATATGTTGTTAAGATAAAGCAGGAAGCTTTTTTTTTCTTTTTTTTGCGGAACGCGAGCCTCTCACTGTTGTGGCCTCTCCCGTTGCGGAGCACAGGCTCCGGACGCGCAGGCTCAGCGGCCATGGCTCACGGGCCCAGCCGCTCCGTGGCATGTGGGATCCTCCCGGACCGGGGCACGAACCCGTGTCCCCTGCATCGGCAGGCAGGCTCCCAACCACTGCGCCACCAGGGAAGCCCTAAGCAGGAAGCTTTTTGCAGGTAACTTCAGCCTGTGTCCCCAGAGATCCCTATTTATTTTCCTGTGCCATTGGGGGTCCTTTGATGGAAATATTTGGTATGATCTGTTAACAAACTGCTGAAAGAGTTTTAAGCTAGGGATTGAGAACGCTTTCAGTTTAGCCCAGGCCTCCAATCTGGAGCGGTTACTCTGAGAGCAGAATCTAGGGTTGATTTGAGGGAATTGTGGTCAGAAGCAGGTGTCCCCCTTCAAAGGCTTGTGTGGCCCCGGAAGGACCGAGTCTCTGAGCTCAGTCGGGGACAGTGGTCATGAAGAGAGAAGAGCGGGAGCAATGTTAAGAGAGAATGATCGGGAAGCAGCGCCAGCCTGAGTTTTCTGAGGAGAGGAGGCCTTCCGGATGCCGCCCTGCTTTGAGCAGGATGGATGTGGGTCTGGATGAAGGAGCATCCGGAGGAGAAGACAGGCTTCGTCTGTGTGTCTTGGGAGGGGCCGGCGTGGTGTGGGGGGGGTGCCTTTAGGCTGCACTCAGCTCGGTGGCTGAGTGCTAGTCAGCGGTGCCAGGTGGAGACAAAGATTTGGGAGCAAGCTGTTCTTGGGATGCAACATCATGGGCATGGCAGAGATTTGGTGGAGGTAGGAAGTATACCAGTAATACGCGGCCATTGTTGAGAAGTAGGCCAAGAAAACAGGAACAAAACCTCCAGAGAATTAGGAGAAGAAACAGCAAAACACCCACTGGAGTAGAGCTTGTCTGTTACAGGGATGGTTGAGTGGAAGGAACATTTTTCTGTACAAGCTCCTAGGAAACCCTAAAAAACTGGATACTGTTGGCAGAAAAGCTGTCTGTGGTTAATATTAATGCAGCCAAATATAGTAAGTTCAAGTGTTCTGTTGGTTTTTAATAAACAACTTAGAAAACTATATCCTTATAACCTACTGAGGCTGTTAGCTTAGCGCTTAGGTTGGTGAAGAATGTTGTCACGGGTGGGTAAGTTTCCCTGAGAGTAACAGCCAAGTCTGTAATTTTCCTGTCTTGTTCGCCCGAGCGTTGGTTCCCCAAGTTCTGATGACGTACTTAAAGAGATCTGACTCACTTCACAGCGGATCAGAAGTCATAACTTGTAACAAGCCTTGGCCCCAGAGCTCATAAAGTATTTTTAACACTCAGACGTATTTACTTTCTCGATGTCTTCCAAGTGTAATTGACCTCAGAATGCCCTTGGGAGTCAGCCCTTCTGCCTCAGTTTTCTTGTGAACAGTCTTGGAGCTGTGGAGTGCTAGGACACGGACTCTGGAGCTGGGTTCCAGTAGGGACCCTTGTGTTCCGTGGGCCACGCTTTCTTCATCTTCTGAATAGGGGAATCATCCTCCCTTAATTTTAGAACCGAAATGTATATTTATACAAACAGATTTTAGTCGATGGTAGAATTTTAAAATGTTAGCTTTTCTTCTATCTCCCCTTCCTTAGGAAATTGGGAGGTATGTATTTCTGTTGTGATGATACTATGGTATTATGCTTTTAAACCAAAAACCTCTTAAATTAGACTGTGTCCAGTCAGTTACTTATTAATCTGTCCATGGATGTCAGTGGAGTTTGGGTCCTCTCTACTGTTGTGTTATTGTCAGTTCCTCCCTTCATGTCTGCTAGTATTTGCTTTATATAGTTAGGAGCTCATGTATAGGGTGCATATGTGTGAACGGAGTACTCTTGTATTTATCCCTTTATCGTTACATAATGCCCGTCTTTGTCTTTTGTTATAGACTTTGCTCCAAAGTCTGTTTTGTCTGATAGGAGTATTGCCACCCCCATTTTCTTGTCATTTCTGCTTGCATGAAATAAATATCTTTTTCTTTCCCCTCGCTTTCAGTCTGTATGGGTCGTTAGCTCTGAAGTAAGTTTCTCGTAAGCAGCGCATAGGTGCTTCTGGTTTTTTATCCAGTCAGCCCTCCTGTTTTTGATTGCAGCATTTAGTCCATTGACATTTGAAGTGATTATTGATAGCTACGTACTCAGTGCCATTTTAGGACTTGTTTTCTGCTAGTTTTTGTACTTCTCTGCTCATGCCTTCTTTCTTCCCTTGTATTTTGATGATTTTTTTTTAGTGGTACTCTGTTTTTTTGTTTCTAGTCTTTGTGTGTTTATTGATTTGTGGGTGCCATGGGTTTCATATATGTTGATCTATATCTACTTGTGGTAAACTAGTAGTCATTTAAGTGCAAACACATTGTAAAAGATCTGCATTTTTTACTTCCCTCCCCTACGTTTTGTGTTTCTGATGTCATATTTTATGTCTTCATGTTGTTGTCTTGTTTGTTTTCTCCCCCTGATTTCGACCCTGCAATCAGGTTACAAGCTGTTTGGAGCCTAGGACGATGACCAGCTCATGCTGTGTCCTCAGCGTTGGGACGGGCGGTGTAGGGGGACCTTATAATCCCTGTGAGTTTGTAGATAGCCTGACCCCTGGCCTGTGTCAGCAGGTCCGCGTTCTAATACCAGCCTGGGCTTGCTGGTTCTTCTTCTTTTTTTTTTTTTTCTTTTTTTAAGCATCTTTATTGGAGTATAATTGCTTTACAATGGTGTGTTAGTTTCTGCTTCATAACAAAGTGAATCAGTTATCCATATACATATGTTCCCATATCTCTTCCCTCTTGCGTCTCCCTCCCTCCCACCCTCCCTATCCCACCCCCCTAGGCGGTCACAAAGCACCGAGCTGATCTCCCTGTGCCACGCGGCTGCTTCCCGCTAGCTATCTACCTTACGTTTGGTAGTGTATATATGTCCATGCCTCTCTCTCACTTCGTCCCAGCTTACCCTTCCCCCTCCCCGTGTCATTACTGATTATTCTTAAAAGACCAGCGTTATTTTATTGTAGTCAAGTTGTCGTAACGCAGTGTGTGCCAGACTTGTTGAAAAAGAGGGTGTGAGAAACATTCAGTAGCCAGAATAACTGCATTAGAATTCAGAAGAGGCAAAAAGGAGTCATGGATGTAGAATTTGCTCCAAGAGATCCAGAGATGTTTAATCTAGCTCTTTAACGTAGAGGTGAGCAAAGGAAGTCGGGAAGCCTCCCCGAGGTCCCACGTAGCATGGGGATGTGGCATCTTGCCTGAGTTGCCTACCTACCCCCAGTAGTCTTTCAGCTAGACTTAAGATTTTAGGACTTAAAAATCTTAGATCATAAGTAAAAAGCAAATTATGACACCAAAAATGTCAGTAATATAGCATATGTAGGATTGCATTAAAAAGAAATATGCAGACAAAAAGAAAAGCTAAGGATCCAAATTGCTCTGCTCTAGTTGACTTTTTTTTCCTCCCAAATGAGTTCACAGCTAGAAATGACATTCTGGTTTGCAGTACCTGGAAATGTAAATAGAGCCCAGTGCTTTGGTGACAGGTCCTTATGAAATGTCTTTGGACTCCAGCACCTGAAGCATCCTGATTTCTGGTTCACTTTTTGAAAAAACTGGGTTATTTAGTGGGATTAATACTGTTCGGGGTTTTTAAGTTTCAGATTGTTGGTCAGGAAGTAGCGGAAGTGGGGAAAGTAGATGTCTAACGCTGTGTAGGTAAGGAAGTGAGAAGGCAGTCAAAGCAGGAGCAGCACTTGGAAGAAACTCCGGGGTTTCTTCCCTTTCTGTCCTTTCCCCACAGTGGAAATCAGCTCGTCATTATAAAAACTGCACGGGCTCGAAGGGAGGACAGAAACAGCCTAGTCTAGCACAGGATCACTGGGTCGGCACGTCCCTGCCGGTGTGTGTCACCTGCCAGGAAGCGGGGATGGAATTCGTAGACAGATCTCTGGTATCGGACCAAAAGTTGTGATCAGAGATGCCACTGTTTTTTGCAGGTGGGACACTGAGGATTTATGCAGATAGTTTAAAACCAAATATTCCCTACAAGACGATCCTGCTGTCTACCACCGACCCTGCAGGCCTCGCTGTGGCTGAAGCTCTGGAGAAGTACGGCCTGGAGAAGGAAAACCCGAAGGATTACTGCATTGCCCGCGTGAGTACCTGCCGCGCCCGTACTTACCCACATCACACGTGCTAGAACTTTGCATTTAAATGGAAAGATATTCTTTAAATGAAGTTAGACTTAGGCTGAACTTCTCCACACTGTATCACTTAGAATCTGCTAAAACGAAACCACGTGTAAATATATGTAAGAAACAACATTCTCCTTTCCATTACAAAAGTAATCTGCGTTCCTGCTGTAAACTAAGAAAAGTATAAAAAGGCAAACTGAAGAAAATCCTCTGTCGTTCTAATACCAAAGGATAAGCGCTATTAACATTTTGATGTATATCCTTCCAGTTTTTGTTTTGCATATATATAGGTAACAATTTTATTTTAGTAAAATCTGCCTTAATGATTTTTTTCTTAGGGTTTTTACTAAGATGTGTCGTAACGACCCAACTTTAAATAAATCTTGGTTTGCTATTCATCATTAACCGACATTTGGCTGGTAGGTTTAGTAGTCATCCGTAATTTCTTGGAGATAAAGGGTGTATCTTTGACCCTAGTACTCAAGAAGTACAGTGAAATTTTATGCCTCAGAGTTGAATTGGTGACACTAAGTAAAATCAAGCAGATTTTCTCTTCTAAGACAAACTTTTTGGAAAATTATTAACCTTTAAGTCAGTCACAAGTATCTAATAACTTCTTTATACCCATTATTTCTCTGTCAAAATCTCATTGGAAGTAGATTTTTTTAAGAAGATGTCCTTCTTTCTCTCATCTTAGCAATTGATTATTAAATAATGAAAGTGTGGTTACTTGTTTTAGTTCTTGCCCTCGCCAAGATTATTGAGAAATAATTAAAGTACAATGTATTACATGTATTTAAAGTTTATAATACCATCGGTTTGGGCCTGTCAGCACAGTGGACATTTCCTTCACCTTCAGAAGTTTCCTTACGCCTCTTTGTATTTTTGTGTTTCGTTGTATGGATATGTCACACTTTGTTCATCCACTTACCTGTTAGAATTTGCGTTGTTTCCAGTTCTCAGTTTTGGGCTCTTACAGTAAAACTGCTGTGAGCACACACGTGCAGGTCTTCTCATAGAAGTACTTTTTTTCTTGAGTAAATACTCAAGTGAACGGCTTCGTAGGAGGCATATGTGTAACTGTTAAAGAAACTCTTTCCAACCTGAGTATACCATTTGCATCCCCACAGTCATATGAGATGCCGTTGCTCTGCCCCTCACCCATGCTTGGTTTGGTCAGTCATTTTAACTATTAGGCATTCTGATGGGTGTAGTTGTATCTCATTGTGGAAGAAATTTGAGTTTCCCTGATTATCTATATACATGTCAAGTCCTATGTATGATACATGTACTGTGAATATTTTTTTCCCAGTCTGTGGCTTGGCTTGTCTTTTCATTTTTAAAATGGTATCTTTCAGTGAGTAACAATTTATTATTTTGTTGAAGTCCAGCTTGTTAACTTTTTAGTGCTCTGTACTTTCTGTGTGAGAATTTGCTTCCTCCAAGGCTGCAGACACTTGTACCTGTATTTTACTTTAGAAGTTTCATAGTTTTAGGTCTTACATTTGGGTCTGTGTGTTCCATTTCAAGGTGACATTTGTGTATGGTGTGAGATTAGGGTCGATGCTCATTTTCTTCTGTACAGATACAGAAAAAAAGACTTTTATTTTCTCCCACTGAGTGCCTTGGCACCTTGTTGAAAATCAGTTGGCCATATATGTTTGGTTCTATTTCTGGAATCTATTCTGTTTCATTTATATATCTTACATCTTTTCACCAACACCAGACTGATTACTGTGGATTTATGGTGAGTCTTAAAAATCATATAAAGTCCCAATTTTGCTTTCTCCTTTTGCTTTTAAAAATTGCTTTGGTTATTCTAGGTTATTTGCATTTACAAATAAATTTTAGAATCAACTTATCAGTTTCGACATAAAACCTGCTGGAGTTGTGACTGGGTTTGCATTAACTCTGTAGATGAATCCAAATGCTAACAGTGTTCAGTTTTCCAGGCTGTGGACAGAGTGAGTGGTCTTCTGTAAGCTCTCAGCAGTGGTTCCTAGTGCTGCTACAGAGAGAATTAAATAAAAGATCTTGCTTGAGTTTTATGGCTTTTTTCTTTTTGCTGAAAAGCTGAGACTTTATATTCAGTTGGCAAAACCATTTGGCAGATGTGTAATTTTATGAATAAAGCCCAATTTTCATCTGAAAATAGGTGAGAAAACAGACGTTTTGATTCCACTGAGATGACAACAAAGGATAAAGCCCTTTGGGAGTGCACGAGAACAGAGAGAGTGAGCGAAGGGTCGGCAGAGCAGTTGTAGATGAGAGTCTGAAGAAGCGGGCGGGTTAGTATCTAAGTTGCTGGACCTGCAGAGGGGGCCGGCCGAGGGGAAGCGCGCAGCTGCCTGTCTCCCAGCCCCTAGCGGACTCAGGCATGAGGGGCTCTAGCACGTTCTGAGGCGGCATTGAAAATTGGGCTGAAAACAAATTGGGTGGAAAGTTTTTATAAGCAGTAGTAGCCTCCAGCAGACTGCCTTCCCATCCAGCTACTGCGTCGTCTCTCCATCCGAAGGCCAGAGTAAAACCGATGGGGGAGGAGGCCTTGGCTTTGGGGGTAACTGGCGTAGCAGGGTCTTTACCACAAGCAGGAGGATGGAGGGGAAGGCTGTACCCAGAAGATTGAAGGATTCCTCCCAGAAGGCACTTTCTGGTCAGAGAAGAAAGACCTGTATGGAAACTGACCTTTGGACGTCTGGTCCAGCAGCCGTCCTCGCCGTTACCGTCAGCTTTCCTGTGACTCGCTGTCAGTGTGAGTGGACGGCCCAGACTCAGTAGACATTTGCAAATGCCTCTAAAATGAAAGACAGACCAACACAGACAGATCAGAGAACCCGGAGATACAAGAGACAAAGCAGATGGAAGTGTGGGAGAGCTAAGAGACTCGGCGGATGGCGCATCCGGAGCGCAGTGAGGAGGAGCATGCGGGGGGCTCCTGGGGATTGAAAAGCCCAGGTAAATGAGGGGTGGGGGCAGAATGTCAGTGGAGGGATGAAAGAGCAAGTGGAGGAAATCTGCCGGAGGACAAAAAGAGAGGGGCTCGGGAATTTAGATTATCGGTGCAGAATATCTTAAAATTTAGCCCAAGGAGGACCAGGTAGAAAAAGCAACAGGAAATGGAGAGATAGACGTTACCAAAGAAGCAATGCTAGACCATCTCCCAGGACTGAAGGATTCGAGTCTCTAGGTTGAAAAGGCCCACTAACTAATGGGACAGTTGCTTTGAAAAAGGCCCAAACCAGGGTGTAGTGAAAGTGCAGGAAACTAGAGAAAAAGAGAGGGTAATGATCGCAAAGAAGAAGGCGCAGGGCTTGTATAAAGGGTTGGGGGACACAGTTGCAGCCGTCACTTCAGCAGTAGCCGTGGACTCTGGAATTCAGGGAGGCGGCGCTTCCTGATGCAGAGGGAACCGACCTCTAGCCATACCCTGGGTCAGGCGCTGGGCGGCTGGAATAAAGACGTTTTAAGACACACACGGCAAAAATCTACCACCCGCGCAGCCTCTCTCAGTAAGGTGCTGAAGGACATTCTCCAGCAAAATCGTGGCGTAGGCCAAGAAAGAGAAGAACAGGGTATCGCAGAACAGGCTCTAGCACAGCAGAAGGGAGTCCCCGGCGACTGGGAAGGAGCGTCTGGGGGATCGCTGTGTGGCCATCCTCTGCGGCACCTGTTTCAGAGCGGAGGTGATGTCTGAGATGGAAAATATTCTTTAGAAGTACGGTGGTAAATATTAGTTATAACGTCAAAATAAACAAATGGTAAATTCCTGAGTGTATTTCTGTAAAAACTTTTTTCCCCAGTGTTGTGTGTTATAGCAATAAAGTAAATACTCATCACTTAAGGAATACTTTGAATACCTTGTCATTATGAAACATTTTGAGTTAGACCAATACCAGTTGACTTAGACGTATTTACATTTTATACAATACCCTATTTTTGGAAAAACAGTCACCATACAATCAAACCAAACAACAAAATTCTGTGTGTATGTATACGTGAGCACCAAGGAAGGTACATGCATAGGAAGGATACACACCAGCTTAACTACCTACATGAGGGGAGGGAGAGGAACAGGAGACTTTAAAATGTTACATGTGATCAGGCCATGCACCTTCTTATGTAAAAAACAAATGCATAATTATAGAAAGCATGATCAGGAAAATATACTTATTGTCTCACAGATTTTTTTCCCCCTCCTCTTATGCTTTTCTGTATTTGAGTTTTTTACGTTGAGCCTGTGTTATTTAGAATCAGAAAGAAGTACAGCAAAGCTCATTTCATTGTAGGGTGGAGGAAGATAGACGGATGCTCATGAGTATTTGTTTTTTGCTGCGCCTTTTCTTTCTTTTGGTCTTATTAGAAAGAGACTGAAAACCCGCCTTACTGTGGGGAGGGAGGGGCTGGGAGGGCGAGGTTGGGAGGATAGGTCATCGGGATAATCACGCATTCTCTCCAAAGGGAAAGAACCTGAGATTCAGGCCACGCTGGGCGTTTTCCTCCTGCAGGTGAGTTTGAAACAGGGGGACCCTGTTGTCATGCTGGCTTCGTTGCTTTCCTGCTTGGGAGAAATAGCAGTATGGAGCAAGCATTAGTGTATGTATGGAAAATATATTTACACCTAAAGAATAATTGTGTCCTTGGATCAATGGTAGATTTTGATACACGTTCCTCATAGTTTTGGTTAATAACTGCTGTAAAAAGTGTCCTTAGGATAAAACTAGTAAGACAGCGGTATAAATAGGGTCTGCATTGCTAAACAGAGGGCTGACCCTTTTCCAGCTGGGTCCCTGTTAGGCTGTGAGCCCAAGGGCGGGAGCTTAGCTACCACTGCCGAACACTTGGGATTGCTCAGGTGTTCGCCAGGGCAGTGTTAACTTTTAAGTGTATATAAATCTATTAAATAATTCTCAGTTCCATAAAGGTGCATTTGATAGGATATGTGGTAGTGAACTTTATAACATTTTTTTCCTTTCTTTAATTTCTGCCGTATTTTTACTGATGAAAATCAGAAAGTGAAAGAACACCTTAACCAGGGGCTTTTGCTGACGGTCCCTTTTGAGATCACTTGATGATTTCTTTTGAGGGTCGCCTAGTTTTGGTTTTCGTTCTTCTCTGTTCTTGTGCATTTTCTTTCGCAAGCTTCAGGCAGGATAAATTAGGAGTTGATTATTGTTTTGGCCTTGAGATAGAAATCCTTTGTTTCCTTGCCATCTCATCCATCATGTAATATGTAGCTCTTTCATCCATCTATTATACCTATTCAGTGAATTATTCAATAAATATGTAGGTTCCTCTTATTTGTTAGATAACTGTGCTGGGATGCAAAAATAAGAGCTGCCTTCAAAAGAGGTTACAGTAAAGGGAGACAGAGAGTCCGAGAAAGAAATACAGGCAAGGAGCTTGAAATCAGAACGGAGGTCAGAGAAGGCTCCCTGGAGGAGTTGTACTTGGGCTGAGAGGTGAGAGGGCACGCTAGCTAGACGCGAAAGCTGGGGACGGGCCTTTGAGGCACAAGGGATCGTGGAAGCATGAGGTTTCGTGGCCCAGTCGAGAATTCGGAGAAGTTCTGTGTGACTGGATCTATGAGGATACGTGACAAAGACTGCGACTTAAAGAGATGAGTGAGGGTCAGATCCTGAAGCAGTGTGTGTTCCAAGCCCACTATACTGCATGTAATACAAGACGCTGTGAGGAAAGGTTGGTTACTTTAGCATAAGGGTGTGTTGTAATAAACTTGTCTTTTTAGGGTAATTTGCAGCAGTGCGGAGCGAAGTTTTACAGTTCTGTGGAAGTCTAACCCATCTGGTCTATGCACACGATGATCTAATTGGGAGTGAGGCCTATTAGGGTGACGTTATTACAGGAACTCCAGGCTGAAAATAATTCTCAGGTGCCAGTGCCTGGCTTCTCCTGTTTTCTGTAACCGTGTTTTGGTTGGTGCGAGCGGTGGGGCAGAAGTCAGCGGGGGGTCGGAGACAGAGCCCTGCGGCCGCTGGTTCCGTTCTCTGTGTTACAGAGGGTTTTCTCGAATGATTGAGAAGTTTGCTGTAAAAACATAGAATAAAGAGTAATCCAGTGTTACAGATTTTTGAGTGTGGTGAATGCAGTATCTTGAAGCGTTTGTTGAATGAACGGCCCAGTAATACATCTAAATGATCTGATTAAAATTTAATCATAAAAACGAATTTTCTACAAGAAAAAGAAAGCTAAATCTCTTGTGGTGTTATGTGATGATTGTACCCTAAAAGGTTTCATGTTAGATGAAACGACCACATTAAAACGTTTGGTTATGAAAGGTGGGTCCTGCAGTCACCTTTCCCGAAGGAATTACGCACAGGTTGACTGTCGCGTGCAGTCTTTCCAAAAGAGAGTTTGTCAGAAAGCAGACTCAGGCTAGATGGGCCGGGGAGCAGGGCGCAGAGCAGCAGGTGAATGAAGACGGTCCGGCCGGCTGGCCAGGCTTTTAATTGGAAACTGTTTTCCTTCACTTCTGTCAGTGTTTTTGAGAATTGTTCATTGTGTTTGACCCATTCAGTTCTATCTACAGTGACTTTTTTATTTCCTCAAAAACAATACATTCTTTCTTTTAAATAGCTGCTAATTCACTTTTTGGGTGTCGTCACAGTTCACTGTTATTCCCTCCCAGGTGATGCTCCCTCCTGGGGCCCAGCGTTCTGACGAGAAAGCTGCTGAGGAAGTTATCCTTGGTGATGATGAGTGCCCTTTACAGATCTTCAGGGAGTGGCCGAATGACAGAGGTGAAGAGTAGTCTTACTTGTCAAAGAATTACCGCTGTGATGCGTTACACTCCGACTTGAAATATTAGTCGTTTAACTTACTGGAAGGTGTAGGACGGTGCGCGTGGCGGAGCCTTTTGAGGGCTGTTTGCTGTGCAGGTTTCTGCCCCCTTCTTGGACTTGCTGGGTGGTTCCTAGGGGGTCCCCACATCCTGAGGGCCGCTCTCTGCTGGTGGGTCTAGTGGGAGACCTGGCACAGACCGTTTTGTGGCAGCAGGAGTACCGTGTCCTGAAGAAGCTGGACTTCAGCACCGTGTCAGGACGTGGGAGATGGGTGTCTGTCGGCAGCGGGATCCTTTCCCTGCCGACCAGATGGACTGGTGATGTTTGGCCAGATTTGTTGTAATAGGGAAAATAGCCTTCAACCCTAAATACCGTCTAGTAATTTAGTCATTTCATATAATGAATCCAGACTTTTCACTATCGAAACGATTTCTCCTAATTACGTCAAAGCAGTGAGGGTTTAAAGGTATGTTTTTTTTGAAATAGAGTTTTGTTGCTTTCAGATACACATCTTAAGCTACCTGTTGCTCCGTGGAGGGCCTTTGCATTAATAAAGACATAAAAACTGACTGCCAGTCATATTTGAGTGTAGATTGCGAGTTTTAAACATACACTTGCTTAGTACCTTTTCTCGACAGTATAAAGCTAAACTTTATTAAAGTCAGATTGCTTTGAATTCTGAGTTAATTCAATTGAATTAAATAAAATCAGGTTCACTAAGAATGCATGTGTATTTGTGTGCGCATGTGTTATTACATGTGTGTATGAGTGTATTTATTGATCATAGGGTTCTTTACCAATAGAAACATTCATTTATTCTGAAACTGGAGTGTTGTCTTTCATGCATGTGATATGCTTGGGAGGCGATTGATTTAAAATAATTTTTGGAAATTGCTTGCTAGAGTTTTCAAGAACATGTCAAGAGAGTAGTATTTCCTCTGTTTAGGGAAAGTGTAAATTGGGTAAAGCTTTTGCTTAATTATTCCCTGGGAGATGTTATTAAATTACATTTTCTTGATAAATCTTTGAACAGTTGATAGCCAGTCAGCTGGCCGTCTACACTCACTTGAGTCTGGTTGCTAATTTACAGTGTTACTGTTCTAGGGATTTTAGTCTTTCAGCTGAAGAGGAGGCCACCAGACTACATCCCAAAGAAAAGCCAGAAGCACATGGATGGGAAGCCGCTGCATGGGAAGGAGCGAGTTGATGGGTCTGGCTATGGCGCTGTGCTCCCGCCGGAGAAACTGCCCTACCTCGTAGAGCTGAGCCCAGGTGAGAGGTGTTACCAATGTACATTCTCAGCTTTACATGTTATTCTTTTTAATGAATGTTATTTTAATTGGTCTTTCTTTTGACTGACAACCTTTTTTAAGATCATCTATTTAAAAAAGTAACCATCATAAGATGGCATTCATTAAAAAAACAAAAACCCTTAATTAAGGTTATAGGATATGTATATTCATATGTATATGCATTAAAATATGTATATGCATTAAAAATAAACTTCACGTGCACAGAAATGAATACCGAAAAACAAAATTTTAAATAGTGAATATAGAGAATTTAAGAAGTTTAAATGATTTACTCCCTTTTAATTTTTTTTTCCAAAATAACCCTGTAAAATACTTAACTACTAAAAATGAGAAACTGAAATGTAGTCCTCTTGGGACAGACGTCATGGAGGCAGGTGTGTGTGTATTTATCACACTGTTGCTTCATGTATGAACAGTGTCAAAAGAATATCTAAATTTAATTACATCTAAGAAGTCCACCTGTAAGAGGAGCGATATTTGCTTAGTTTTAAAATTATAATAGACTAAGTTTGTGTTCATGTTAGCCTTCTAAATATTGCGTTTGTTGGGCTCTCTTAAGCTAAAGCTGTTGTTATAACTTAGCCATCAGGTAGAGAAATACATTGACATTCTTAAGGAAATGTTTTATGCACACGCATCGTATGTAGTGTACGTATTTGTACGCATATTTAATATATGTGTGACACGTTTGTTTACCGTTCAGCTGAACTGTATCATTTCTTATTTATTTGGTTAAAATGATGGTATGTGACCTTTATTGTAAAATGCTGTGAAGAACAGAGTATTGTCCCTCCCACCCAGAACTGCTTTTTAAATAGAGCTCAGTAAGTAATTATAGAAAAAGTTAGCTAAAAACAGACTGGTTATGTAGATAATCTGTGTTTCCTTGGGCGGCAGTTATGTTTTTCTCTTTGATTCCTGAGTATTGATTTTTGTTTACAAGATTATAACTAATGATTAGATGTGGCACCTGTGGTCCAGTGGTCTCCATGGCACAGCTGGGTCGTGTTATATTGACACAGGGAAAATGCTGTTGTTTTGGCTGATGCTCCGTAATTAGTCCGTGGCCGTGTGCTGCAAGTAGTAGCGTTTATGCTTAATTATGTTTGAAGGTTTTTTTAAATTGATGAGCTGTTTATGAGGAAGATGGGAGTGTTGCCTTGTCTCTCAGTTCTCCGGCTGAAAAGTTCATGAAACTTTGGTGTCCTCACAGTGGTTTGCAGACATGATTAGTGGTGAGGGTTTGGTGCTCAGTGGTCCGAGGCAGTGATCGGCGGCTGGAAGACAGCCATCTGTTTTTGAACTTAGAAGTTTTTAGGATCATCTTTGGGCCTTGGGTCTGCCATTCAAGATTTTGCATTACGTGCTAGAAGCTAATGACTGTTTTCTCCCAAACTGAAATTTTTGAAAATAGGAATATTAACCCAGAGAGAGTTGATAAATAGCAGCTGACATAGGATAATTTTCACATGAATAGTGGAAAGTTGACTTGGGTGGGTAGCAGAGACAGGATGAGAATTCATCCATTTATTTCTTTGACAAGTACTTATTGAATGCTTACTATGTGTCAGACACTGTTCTGGACCTTGGAGATAGGAGAACACCAGCAAAACAGGTTAAGCCCCTGACCGTGGGAACGTAGATTCTAGTGAGAATTGGCGTTTTGACGGCTTGCTTCATCCTTACGGCCTCCCGGGTAATAAGACATAGGGAAATTTTTTGTCGGTGTAAGAAACTGATGGATCCGAGATAAACGCTGGCTGTGTCCTACTGGTTACCCAGGACTGGCGACGGCACCTATCAGATACTTGTTAAAACACGGCCTCCTTCGCGGCCCTCTGCTACTCTAGACAGCGTTTACCGAGCTGCTGCTTTAGGCTGCGCAGTAGGTACACAGGTGACTCAGGTGGCTTCCAGAGAGACTCGTGGTCCGTATAGCTGGGCAGCCGGGGCCCCCGTCAGTCTGACGCGCCCGAGCGCCTGGGCTGCCTGCTGGAGAGCTGCAGCGCTCCGCAGGTGCCTGAAGTTCAGCTCCGCGCTGCACTCGCAGGTGACGGGGGGCGGGCGTGGAGGCCCGGCCGGCCGGGGTCTGTCTCACTCCAGAGCTGTTCTCTTCACCAGGTGACGCTGTCTTCTTAAGGTGTCGTTGCTGACCGAGCCCGGTCAGCACGCAGAGTGAAATGGACCTAGTTTCCCTGTGTTCGTGGATGCTGACTTGTCACGAGAGACTGTTTCCCTGGACACGTTGTCAGCCAAGCACGTGTCCTCGGGGTTGGGCCGAGGTCCTGTAGGTGTCGTTGGAGGCTTTTGAGATGTGGGCGGGTGCTTCCACTGTCTTTTGGAGGGACGGGGGTAGAAGTCGTTTTTGTCCCTTGCTCTGGGTTGGGCTGTGCTCTGCAGGGAAGGAGCGGGGTGGGTCTCCCTGTCATGGACAGACGGCTGCTCCCCTGCTGCTCGGGGACTCCCTGTCAACTCAGTGTCCCCCTCAGCAATGTGCCCACGCCGCGCGGAGCACGGCTGCCGTGTCCTCCAGCCCAGGGCTGGGGCAGGACGTGCCTTTCCCCCTGGACAGTCGCCTCCCTGCAGCTCACCCTCTCCTCTCCCCTGCACGCGTCTGCGTGGCCTCTGTCCGCCGCTGCTGCCTTCACCCGGGTCCTGCGCGTGTGTGCGCACCCCAGGGAGAAGGGGTCGCTTTGCCTGCTACGGCTGGCGTGCTTCCAAAGGGGATGCTGCGCTTCCTGCTACTGTCTCATCTCGAGCACTGACGACCTCACGGGCAGAACAGCGGTAACTGACCAGATGCTGGATGTGTTGGCTTTTCAGTTAATATAAATAACTTTTCTTAAGAGTTTAATGTACTTTCATTTTATCTCTATCTAGCTAACTCTTCCGTATCCAGGATTCATTTCATTTAATAGCAGCTTATTTTGCAGAAATGTCCGGAGTCTTTGTTCAGGCTAAGTTTTAAGTGAGAATTTGCACGAAAGGAGGGAGAGAGCTGTTTTCCTGTCCTTCGACCCTGTGCGCCCCCAGGAGGAAGAGGGGGAGACACGGGGGGGAGGAGGTGCGGACGGGGGTGGGGGAGGAGGACAGAAGGAGAAATGGGGGTGGTGGATGGGGGAGGGAGCGCCGATCGGGGCCACGTGTCCGGTGACGCCAGGAGGCTGAGGAGGAAGAGGCCGCCACCCACTTAGTGCCGCTCTTGTCTGTATCGTTCTCGCGAGGCGCTCGCTGCCATCGTGAGCAGGTTTAGGGTGTCCTCGGCCTCGGCTTGCTCTCCTGCTTGAGATCATTTCTGGCTGGCACAGCTGGACCTTCTTACTTGGAACTTGTTTCTCAGATTTTGTGCATTAGAGTCTATCATCTTAAATAGTACATGGAAACACTTCCTTTGTCTGTTTTTATATTTCAAGTGTCATTTTTTACATGTCGATGTAACAATCAAAACTTTCTCGTATATAAAGTTGACTCAGCCTTTCGGCATCTTATATCAGTTTGTTGAATTTTCTCCAAACTGATCATACAGGTTTTTATTGGATATTAACCAAACTTGGAGTTTTAGTTTTTTATTCTTTTAAAGAAAAATGGAAACAAGGGATATTTAGTACCTATTTTGATATAGTACATAAAGTAGAGTAAGACAAGTTTCTGTTGTTATTTTATTCCTGAAAAGGATTCCTTAATGTTTTCACGTGTTGGTTACTTTCACACTGTAAAAGAATGGAGCAAATAGAGAGACATACGTTTCCTCTTTTACCTGGTATGTACCGAAAACAGTTTCTTCCCTGTTGTACTGGTTCGCTAAAACGTAAGTGAACGTAAGCTCTCTGGGAGAGGACATGAGCTTACTTTCTCACCGCAGACCTCTGGCGTCCACGCGGCGCCTGGGACACGGAAGCGCTGGTCAGCACTCCTTAAACGCGTGAGTCCCCCGCCCTCCGTTCGCAAGCGGGCGGCCAAGAGACGCCCCAGGCCGTCGTCCACCCAGCTGCCCAGAGGCAGAAGCAGGCCTGGATGTGTAGACATGCTGTGCAGTGACACCAAAAGTGTCCTGAAAAACATTCTCAAGCTTTGCTCAGAGTGATCTATTTTAAGTGCGTCCCAAATGTTGGACATTTGACTGGATGTTGCATATTCCGTTTGGTAACCCCAAATGGTATTCTAACGCTTGTGCAAGCCAGGAGAAAGAAGAACGTGAGTATCGGGAGGTATAATTATATACGCACAAAATAGACTCTGAAGATTTGCTTCTGGGTGGGGAAGGACTAGGCAGGGGCCAGGTGGGGAAGGGTGCGGTTCACCATGTCCTTTTTGTGCCTTTTGAATTTTGCACCATATGAACGTGGTACGTACTTTTAAGGCAAAAGTATAAAATGTTTCTAAAAAGCATTTAAAGCCTCTGGAAGAAGCACTCGTCTGTGTGGTAGGGTCACTTCGGAAGATGTATCTCCGCCTTCAGAGGCACTGCCTGTCCGTCGTAGCTCTCAAGTGAGGAGAGATGTGCTCCGGCACTTGAGCCGGAAATAGAGCATTTGTAGAATCCCTGTTGCGGAAGGGGATAAAGTTTTAAGATTTTTGTTTTAAGCCACCGTTTTACACGTTTGTTACTGCCTGTGAGATGACTGTGCTTTTACTGAGGAGGGGCCTTGGATCTACAAGAAGCTGTCAGTTACATTGTGAACATTACTCGCCTCCGTTTCTGTGTTCTGCCTGAGGTCCCAGAACTCCGTTTTATCTATGACGCGAGTGGCCACCGTTTAGGTTATTCAGGATATACCTGTAAAGGTATCTTTGTTTTCTATTATTACTGTGAAGCAGAAAGAAAGAAGGGAATTGGGAAGGTTTATTTCTGATTTGTCTCTCGATAGATTTCTGTCGCAGAGAAAGGAGAGACTGAGAAAGTTTGTATCTCTCCCTTTTTATATTTCTAAATTTGTGGATGTAAATATTGATGCAGAAAAGTATATAATACCCATTTATTAGCTCACAAGGTACCCTTCAGAAGCATTCAAAATTCAGAAGAAAGCGAATGTGGATTTTTCTTTCACCCCTAAACAGACATATTTTTCATGCTCTTCTGTTTTTTAAACATTGTAATTGAAACAGTTGTTCTTGATCACTTATTTGCTTCTTTTGCTTTCTTTATAATTCATTTGTATAATTCTGTGCGAGACCGTATCGCATTATTCTGTTTTCCGCATTTTTAGTTAATAATTCTTCACTGTTAATACATTAAGGCTTTATTGAGCGCACGCTGTACTGAGCACCAGGTGTAGAGAGATTGTTTTAAAGACCTAGCCGCCTGGGAGCTCAGGGGTGGGAGAGGTGAGGAAGCAGAAACCCTCATCAGACACGGCCAGTGGGGTCGAGACGAAGTGGTTCACGGTGCTGTGGGTGCCGGAGAGTGCTTCTTGCCAAGGACCGTCCTTAGGGCTGCCTGTGGTGTTTACAGCCAGCAGAGTGGTAAGCATCCCTCAGGGATTTGGGCTCAGCAGGTCTAGAAGGGAACTGGGTCCTGTCCAGGGAAAGCCCGCGTGACTCTGAGGCCCCGTTTTGGATCAGTGCTTGGAGTTGAAATAAAGTTATTTAAACGAGGCTTCAGCTGCCAGCAGATCTGTTGAGGATGAGCTGTGGAGCAACGCAGACCCGGGGCCCGGTTTTCAGTGCCTGTGAGACCTGTGTCTCTCGAATGCTGCTTCAGTCTCGTCTTACCTTCACCCAGATCCCAGAGATCGCTGCAGACCTGTGGTTAGCGTGTTATCTTGTGCACTCTCAAATTAGCAACCGTTCTAACAGCTTGCACACCCATGTTCCTGGTGTCTTCGGTCTGTGAGAGTTGAGACCACACTACGCTAAGATTTTAGCAGTCTGCACTCTGTGTACACTGCAGTGTTTACACTCCTGATCCTGGGGACTAGAGATTTTAACTGCAGCTCGGTGAGCGATTCTGAAGTCGCTGAGGCTCTGGGGCAGCGGGGCCTGCACAGCATGGGCACAGCGAGGCTGCTGCTGTCACGGCCCTGGGACCGTGTCCTGGCGCGTGAGTGCCGAGGCCCGTGTCCCCCGGTGCGAGAGCGCTGAGATCAGAATGACCCTCTGTGTTAGGTGGGGTGGGTTGGCAGGTGAGGAGAGGAGGAGCCCATCCGGGGGTCAGTGGGCAGGGGCCGCAGCTCTTGTGGTCCCCCAAAGCCAGCCCATCAGACAAAGTGATGCGCAGGCAAGGGAAACATCTCAGCAGTTCCCGGAAGTATGAAATGACACAGAAGTAAAAAACCCAGGCTCTCCTTTTGTCCTTCACCCCAGCTCCACTCCGTGGAGGTGAGCACTTTTCATTCACGGCAGTTCTTACTGGAGCTTCATGCCAGGGGTGGCCGTCAGAATCACGTGGGGACACGCGCTGGGGCCTCATCCCTGGGGGCGGTCTGGTCCCGAAGGTCCAGGGTGAGCTGGGAGGTCACACTCCTTCCATCAGTAGCTCCGCTGTGCCCGGCGGTCTGTGAGGAGGTCCGGTCTGGAAGGAGGGTCTCCCCGTCTTCTTTAGAGTCAGGCACAAGTCCAGGACCGCGTGGTGGGGAAACGTTTTTTTCTGTGATAAGAAAACGTCGGTATGAATGGCGGTGTTAGTACCTTGAATTATATTTTAAACAGAAGCTGATGTGCGTATGTCTTACTTTGAATTTTGTGTATTCAGTTACTTAAGTTGCATGATATAAATTTGGGGAGTTCTTTGAATAGAAATCCTGAGAATTGAGAACAGTAGTGTTGCTTCAAAGGTAACCTGTTGTTTGCTTGTTTGTTTCAAATAACATGATGAGCACATTCGACTTGGCTAGTGAAGCCCTGTCCTTCTCTCGTCGCAGATGGTTCCGACTCCAGAGACAAGCCGAAGCTCTACCGCCTTCAGCTGAGTGTCACTGAGGTTGGGACAGAGAAGTTCGACGACGGCTCCATCCAGGTGCGTGTCCGGCTGCCGCTCTGCCGCTTCGGTGGGTCATAGGGCAGCGTGTGGGCCTGCCGCGCTGCGGGTGAGTGGAAGGGAGGGAAAGCCTTGGTATTTAATGGAAGCAGCTTGCTTGCTCTGGGTCACTTCTCTGCTTCATTGTGAACCGAGCAGAGTGTGAGTGTCTGTCCCACTCCCCCCCCTCCAGACCTCCAGGGCTGTTGCTTTTCTCCAAAAGATGGTGATGGTTTTATAGGTTGTTTCAAGTTTACAAGATTAAGGGGGATAACGTACGTGGAAGTGCCTGTCACTGGGTCGCACACGCAGTAGGAGGCGTTCAGTGAAGTATAGTTAAAGTGTTAGCTGAGCCACAGTGCTCAGGCTGGATTAGAGCAGAGCCTAGCGTGCCTGTGCGTTGGGAAGGGCAGGGCTGCTCGCTTCCCGGGGCTTGGGCGTGGGCAGATGTCCCTTTCTCTGTATTCTCACTTCTCAGTTGTGGCATGAGGGGCCCGATTACTAATGTCATTTTCAGTTCTAACCCCATCCTCAGCACAGCAGTAAAACAGGTGAACAGGGATTTGTAGCCCTGATGATCTGTGTAGATTTACCCATTAATTGTCTAATATTCAAGATGACCACGTTTTGTTTATTTTTTAATAAATTTGTTTATTTTATTTACTTATTTTTGGCTGCGTTGGGTCTTCTTTGCTGCGCGCGGGCTTTTCTCTAGTTGTGGTGAGCGGGGGCTACCCTTGTTGTGGTGCACAGGCTTCTCAGTGCAGTAGCTTCTCTTGTTGCGGAGCACGGGCTCTAGGCGCATGGGCTTCAGTAGTTGTGGCACGTGGGCTCAGTAGTTGTGGCACATGGGCTCAGTAGTTGTGACTCGTGGGCTCTAGAACGCAGGCTCAGTAGTTGTGGCTCTCGGGCTTAGTTGCTCTGCGGCATGTGGGATCTTCCCGGACCAGGGCTCGAACCCGTGACCCCTGCACTGGCAGGCGGATTCTTAACCACCGAGCCACCAGGGAAGCCCCCATATGCTTTTTAATGCAGAGTTGTGGTACCCCTTAAATCAAGCTGCTGGATGGTGAAAATATTCAGTTATTTTGACAGTGTTTATTTAATTAATAAATTAAGGGAAAATTCCCTGAAAGCACCAAAAATCCAGAGTTTATTAGATTATATTTATCATAAAAGAGGGACTTACAGTCTTAAAATTCAGTTTTTAAATCCTCTGTAGTTGATGATGGAAGTTCCTTTGATTTTCCTTTCTTTTTAGTTGTTTGGTTCAGGAATTGAGCCCCATCACTGTGACCTCACAAACATGGATGGAGTGGTCACGGTCACGCCGAGAAGCATGGATGCTGAGACCTACGTGGACGGGCAGCGCATCTCGGAGACGACGATGCTGCACAGCGGGATGAAGGTGCAGTTTGGGGTGTCCCATGTGTTTAAGTTCGTGGACCCCAGCCAGGACCACGCTCTGCCCAAGAGATCCGTGGATGGAGGCCTGATGGCGAAGGGTCCCAGACAGAGGCCTGGGTAAGGAGCATCCATCACCTTTAAGAATTCCAGAGTGTTGTGATCATGCTGAAAATGAAATGAATTAGCCATAGATTATATGTTTTATTGTCTTTTCAAAGTTTGTGGTTTGTGGTTCAGGTTCTTGTTGATTTGGGTTGGTTTCAGAGAAGAACAAGAAGAAAGAAAGGTCTTGACTTCATCTTGAAATTGGAAGTTGTGGCTGGTTTTCATTTTTAAATTTTGTTTTTTACCTGATACTTTTTTTTAAAAATAAATTTATTTATTTATTTTTGGCTGCGTTGGGTCTTCGTTGCTGCGCGCGGGCTTTTCTCTAGTTGCCGCGAGCGGGGGCTACTCTTCGTTGCGGTGCGCGGTCTTCTCACTGCGGTAGCTTCTCTCGTTAAGGAGCATGGGCGCCAGGTGTGCGGGCTTCAGTAGTTATGGCGCGCGGGCTCAGTAGTTGTGGCTCGCGGGCTCTAGAGCGCAGGCTCAAGAGTTGTGGCACGTGGGCTTAGCTGCTCCGCGGCATGTGGGATCTTCCCGGACCAGGGCAGGGCTCGAACTCGTGTCCCCGGCATCGGCAGGCAGATTCTTAACCACTGCGCCACCAGGGAAGCCCTAGCTGATACTTTAAAACAACACTTTATTTGAATTATGGTGTTGTGTGTAATGAGCCTTACGTCACCGAGGTGTTTCGTTGAGGTATGCCTTCTCTGTTACTAGTAGTGAAACACGTTGTTCTTCGTTAAGGAATTCAAGGTATTTGGCTCCACCTAGTGCCTGTCTGAGGACTTGCAACGTGGGCCTGGTGCTGGAAAAGGAAACTCCTTACCGTCTGGGAAAACTTCTCTGAGGGGAAGGGAGTAACACTTCCTTTTTGATAACATTTTTTTCATGAATGTACTGCCCGGTGACTTTATTACCCGTCTTACAGGTTGCTAGGGTGTGGATCTTGGGAAGACAGGGGCAGTAGCTTCCTCCGGCCCTGCTGAGAGCACAGACGTAGCATCCCAGGGGTGGTGCTCCTCGTTCCTGTGCCGTGGTTTCCTGCGTGAAACCGCGCAGAGCTTCCACCTGGGGCCACGTGGGGATCGTTCCCGTTCCCTCGTGCTGGCCCTTCGCTAGCTCACTGTCGGCACTAGGAGTTCTACCCTGACGGCTGCAGCCAGGCTGTTGAGGACGTCTTGGCCTCTCTTCTCACTCTGTCCACATTGAATCCTGGCGGTGGAGAGGGTGAAGGGCAGTCGCGGCCGGTGCAGATAAGACGTAACACCACTCCCGGGTGGACGCTCTGTGGTTCGCGCACGTTTGCGTCAGCAGGGTGGATGTAGGGACTGCCGTGCGGGTGTGGGGATCTGACGTCCCAGCGTCTCGCCTTCCAGTGCCAGGGTTCAGCAAGTGACCGAGCCCTTAGTCCCCGAAAGAACCGGCGTGGGTCTGTACTTGACAGGAAGGTCCCTGTCTCCACCTTTAAACTGGACGCGTGATAAACCCGTCCTTCCCTACTGTGTCTGGCAGGACCAGGTTTTTTAAATTCCTTTCTTCAGGTTGTATTTGTTTATCAGCCGTCTCCCCATTTCCTGTCTCTTGTCATGACCTTCCCACTGGCTCTTCTCTTCAGCAGATGGTCTTGCTGAAAGGGTTTCCATGTTAATTAGCAGCTTTCCTTCGCCCCGTTTCTTCCTTTCAGCACCAGACACCTGGACAGGGTAACACCCCCCCCCCCCCGCCGCTTAATAGCCTCACGCTTATTCCTTGGAAGTTTCTCCAGAGAACTTACCGTGTGAGCAGTTCTTCTGGTGTGGTGTGTGTCGTCTATCAGCAGTGCCTACGATTACTGCCTCTTACTTGCAACTGGGCTTTACTTCTAGGTTTTATGTCGTATTTATTTTGATGGTGTTAGTTGGTAGTGTTACCGTCATAAACACAGTTCTACAAACTGTCTCTGTCCCACTCTTGCAGTCGGCGCTTCAGTTTTGTGGGCGATGTTTTCCTGGGTGAGAACATCCCGTCTCCTACTGCTTTTTGCCTTAATGGTTCCTGCTCTGGAGGCCTGCGGTTGTTGATTCTTGTCTTGTCTCTGGCTGAAAGCAGAGTTCGTGTAAGGACATGGAGAACGTCTCATTGAGGGGTAGTGCTGCTGTGACATTTTATTTTTATTACATCTTTTTCCTGCAAAACTAGTCAAAACTGCTTAGTGGTTGAGTATACCAGTACTTACACGTACATCCATAAAGTAGAACGGACTTTCCTTTTTTATAAAAATTAATACCGTTCTCAAGTTAAACCATTACGCAGATTTCTAGGTAGATAACTCATGTATTCCTTTTTTTCACACATGTATGTATATTTCTTAAATGAGCTATAATTGGCATATTAGTTCAGGTGTGTGACATAGTGATTCAGTGTTTGTATGTGTTGTGAAATGATCACAGTAAGTCTAGTTACGTCCATCGCCACACGTAGTTACGCAGTTTTTTCCTGTGATGAGAACTTCAGGATCTCCTCTTGGCAGCTTTCAGTTCTGCAGCACAGTCTTAGGAACTGTAGTGGCTGTGCTGTGCACTACATCCCCAGGACTTAATTATTTTAAAACTGGAAGCCTGTACCTTTTGACCCATTTTGGCATTCCCCCCATCATCCGGACACCCCTGCCTCTGGTATCCACCAATGTTTGTATCTGTGAGCTTGGCTTTTTTGTTGTTACTGTTTTTTTATATACAGTTTTCAAAGGTCACTTCCCGTTTACAGTTATTACAAAATATTGGCTCTGCTCCCCACGTCGTACAACATATTCTTGAGCCCGTGGTACACCCGGCAGTTTACGCCTCCCATCCCACAGCCCCTGTACTGCCCTTCTCCCCACCCCCGTCGTAACCACTAGTTTGTTCTCTGTGTCTGTGAGTCTGCTTCTTTTTTCTCGTATTCACTAGTTTGTTGTGTTTTTCAGGTGGTATCTGTAGTATTTGTCTTTCTCTGTCTGACTTGACTTAGCATGATGCCCTCCAAGTCCATCCATGTTGCTGCAAATGGCAAAATTTCATTCCTTTCACGGCTGTCTTGTTCTAAGTTCCACATGTAAGTGAGATCATATGGTAATTGTCTTTCTCTGTCTGACATTCCAGTGAGCACAGTTTCTTCAAGTTCCATCCATGTTGTCACAAATGGCAAGATTTCCTTCATTTTTATGGTTGAATAATATTCCTGTGAGTGTGTATACACAGATACAGGTGTGCGCGCGCGCGCGCACACACACACACACACTCTCTCTCACTATATCATCTTTATCCATTCTTCCATCAGTGGACACTTAGACTGCCCCCATACCTTGGCTGTTGTGAGTGAGGCTGCAGTGAACGTGAGGTGAGGATATCATATCAAGTCAGGGTTCTCATTGTCTTCGGATATACACCCGGAAGTGGGATTGCTGGGTCATACGGTAGCTCTAGTGTTAATTGTTGAGGAACCTCCATTACCGGTCTCCATAGTGGCTGCACCGATCTCCATTCCCACCAACAGTGCACGAGTGTTCCCTTTTCTCCACACCCTCACCAACACATACCTCTTGTCCTTTGGATGATGGCTATTCTGGTAGGTGTGAGGTGATGCCTCCTTGCGGTTTTGATTTGCGTTTCCCTGGTGATTAGTGATGTCGAGCATCTTGTCATGTACTTGTTGGTGATCTGTATGTCTTTAGAAAATGTTTATTCAGATCCTCTGCCCGTTTGTTAATTGTTTTTTGTTTTGGGAGGAGATGTTGTTACTGAGTTGTATGAAGTCTTTATATATTTTGGATATTAACCCCTTATCAGATACATGGTTTGCAAATATTTTCTCCCCTTGCACACATTGCTTCTTCATTTTGTCGGTGGTTTCCTTTGCTGTGCAGAAGCTTTTAGTTTGCTGCAGTCCCACTTGTTTATTTTGCTTTTGTTGCCTTTACTTTTTTGTCAGATGCAAAAACTCATCACCAAGACTAGTGTCAAGGAGCTTACTGCCTATATTTTCTTCTGGGAGTTTAAGGTTTCAGATCTTACTCAAGCCTTTGATCCATTTTGAGTTAATCTTTGTGTTTGGTGTAAGGTAGTGATCCATTCTCATTCTTTTGCACGTGGCTGTCCAGTGTTCCCAATACTTTTTATCGAAGAGACCGTCCTATATGTTCTCTGTCATTGTATATTCTTGGCTCCTTTGTCATAGATTAATTGACCATATATGTGTGGGTTTATTTCTGGGCTCTCTATCCTGTTCCATTGATCTGTGTGTCAGTTTTTATGCTGATATCATTCTCTTCTGATTACTAGAGCTTTGTACAATAATATAGTTTGAAATCAGGGAGTGATTTGTTCTTTTTCTTTGTTCTGTCTCAAGGTTGCTTTCACTACTTGGGCTCTTTTGTGGTTCCATACAAATTTTAGAATTGTTCTATTTTTGTGAAAAATGCCATTGGAATTTTGATAGGGATTCCAGTGAATGTATAGATTGCCTTGGGTGGTATGGACATTTTAACAATATCAATTCTTCCAGCCCATGAGCACAAAATAACATTTATTTGTATCTTCTTCAGTTTCTTTGATCAGTGTCTTGGAATTTTCAGTGTACTGGTCTTTCACCTCCTTGGTTAAATTTATTTTTAAGTGTTTTATTCTTCTTGATGTGGCTGTAAATGGGATTATTTTCTTAATGTCTCTGATATTTTATTACCTGTGTATAGAAACACAACATGTTTTTGTTACTGGTTTTGCACCCTGCAAGCGTACTGGATTGGCTTATCCTAACACATTTTTTTTAGTGGAGTCTTTAGGGTTTTCTGTATGTAACATCTTGTCATCTGCAAATAGTGACAGTTTCCCTTATTTTCTGATTTAGACGGTTCTTATTTCTTTTTCTTGCCTAATTGCTCTGGCTTTGTTGAGTAAAATTGGTGAGAGCGGGCATCCTTGTCTTGTTCCTGATCTTAGAGGAAATGCTTTCAGTTCTTCACTGTTGAGTATGATGTCGGCTTAGGTTTGTCATACGTGGCCTTTATGATGATGAGGGACGTTTCTTCTGTACCCTCTTTGTGGAGAGTTTTTATCACAAATGGCTGTTGAATTTTGTCAGATCTTGTTCTGCATATGTGGAGATGATCGTGTGGTTTTTTTATCCTTTTTGTTAGCGTGGTGTGCCACGTTGATGGATTTGTGGCTGTTGAACCATCTGTGTGCATCCCTGGAATAAATCACACTTGATCATGGTGTATGAGCCTCTTAACAGATGTTTTAGGGCTCTTTTTCCCCTTTGGTTGGGCCTCTCTCATGAACTGGAATAAATGGCTTGCATTCACCCTTCATTTGTGCCGAAGAGCTGTCGCTTGCCTCAGATTATTGACTCTTTAAAATGAGATTTTGTTTATGTTCTCAACTAATTTTTCATAATGATAAGTTTAACAGTTTTGGTATTTTTGAGATATTCTTAAAAAGTGTTTAGAATTACTCTGGATCTAATTATTGACATTATCAAAAATTTCTCCATTTCTTTATTTGTAGCCTAGTGGTGGTATCCGTGAGCTTTTAAAAAACCATCAGCTTGGCTTTCAGGCAGGAGTCAGCTGGGCCTGTGCCTTGTCTTCATGCCCACTCCACCCACCCCACCCCACCCCACCCCGGCCTTCCCTGAGTCCACACGTGGGCTCCTGGCACCTCGGGCGTCTGCGCTGTGTTCACGTACCATTTGCAGCCTAGAGAGACTCACTGATGGAACAGCTTTCTCTTTTTTTCTTTATGCTTCCTTTCAATTTTTTGTTATTAGTTTTCAAAAAACTGATCTCAAAAAAGGGAGAAGACTCAAATCAATAGAATTAGAAATGAAAAAGGAGAAGTAACAACTGACACTGCAGAAATACAAAAGATCATGAGACATTATTACAAGCAACTCTATGCCAATAAAATGGACAACCTGGAAGAAATGGACAAATTCTTAGAAATGCACAACCTGCCAAGACTGAATCAGGAAGAGATAGAAAATATGAACAGACCAATCACAAGCACTGAAATTGAAACTGTGATTAAAAATCTTCCAACAAACAAAAGCCCAGGCCCAGATGGCTTCACAGGCGAATTCTATCAAACATTTAGAGGAGAGCTAATACCTATCCTTCTCAAACTCTTCTGAAATATAGCAGAGGGAGGAACACTCCCAAACTCATTCTACGAGGCCACCGTCACCTTGATACGAAAACCAGACAAGGATGTCACAAAGAAAGAAAACTACAGGCCAATATCACTGATGAACATAGATGCAAAAATCCTCAACAAAGTACTAGCAGAATCCAACAGCACATTAGAAGGATCATACACCATGATCAAGTGGGGTTTATTCCAGGAATGCAAGGATTCTTCAATATACGCAACTCAATCAATGTGATACACCATACTAACAAATTGAAGGAGAAAAACCATATGATCATCTCAATAGATGCAGAGAAAGCTTTTGACAAAATTCAACACCCATTTATGATAAAAACCCTGCAGAAAGTAGGCATAGAGGGAACTTTCCTCAGCATAATAAAGGCCATATATGACAAACCCACAGCCAACATCATCCTCAATGGTGAAACACTGAAAGCATTTCCACTAAGATCAGGAACAAGACAAGGTTGCCCACTCTCACTGCTCTTATTCAATATAGTTTTGGAAGTTTTAGCCACAGCAATCAGAGAAGAAAAGGAAATAAAAGGAATCCAAATCGGAAAAGAAGAAGTAAAGCTGTCACTGTTTGCAGATGACATGATACTATACATAGAGAATCCTAAAGATGCTACCAGAAAACTACAAGAGCTAATCAATGAATTTGGTAAAGTAGCAGGATACAAAATTAATGCACAGAAATCTCTTGCATTCCTATACACTAATGATGAAAAATCTGAAAGTGAAATCAAGAAAACACTCCCATTTACCATTGCAACAAAAAGAATAAAATATCTAGGAATAAACCTACCTAAGGAGACTAAAGACCTGTATGCAGAAAATTATAAGACACTGATGAAAGAAATTAAAGATGATACAAATAGATGGAGAGATATACCATGTTCTTGGATTGAAAGAATCAACATTGTGAAAATGAGTCTACTACCCAAAGCAATCTACAGATTCAGTGCAATCCCTATCAAACTACCACTGGCATTTTTCACAGAACTAGAACCAAAAATTTCACAATTTGTATGGAAACACAAAAGACCCCGAATAGCCAAAGCAATCTTGAGCACAAAAAACGGATCTGGAGGAATCAGGCTCCCTGACTTCAGACTATATACTACAAAGCTACAGTAATCAAGACAGTATGGTACTGGCACAAAAACAGAAAGGTAGATCAATGGAACAGGATAGAAAGCCCAGAGATAAACCCACGCACATATGGTCACCTTGTCTTTGATAAAGGAGGCAGGAATGTACAGTGGAGAAAGGACAGCCTCTTCAATAAGTGGTGCTGGGAAAACTGGACAGGTACATGTAAAAGTATGAGATTAGATCACTCCCTAACACCATACACAAAAATAAGCTCAAAATGGATTAAAGACCTAAATGTAAGGCCAGAAACTATGAAACTCTTAGAGGAAAACATAGGCAGAACACTCTGTGACATAAATCACAGCAAGATCCTTTTTGACCCACCTCCTAGAGAAATGGAAATAGAAACAAAAATAAACATCGAACCTAATGAAACTTCAAAGCTTTTGCACAGCAAAGGAAACCATAAACAAGACCAAAAGACAGCCCTCAGAATGGGAGAAAATATTTGCAAATGAAGCAACTGACAAAGGATTAATCTCCAAAATGTACAAGCAGCTCATGCAGCTCAGTAACAAAACAAAGAAACAACCCAATCCAAACATGGGCAGAAGACCTAAATAGACATTTCTCCAAAGAAGATATACAGACTGCCAACAAACACATGAAAGAATGCTCAACATCATTAATCATTAGAGAAATGCAAATCAAAACTACAATGAGATATCATCTCACACCAGTCAGAATGGCCGTCATCAAAAAATCTAGAAACAATAAATGCTGGAGAGGGTGTGGAGAAAAGGGAACCCTCTTGCACTGCTGGTGGGAATGGGAATTGGTACAGCCACTATGGAGAACAGTATGGAGGTTCCTTAAAAAACTACAAATAGAACTACCATACGACCCAGCAATCCCACTACTGGGCATATACCCTGAGAAAACCATAATTCAAAAAGAGTCATGTTCCAAAATGTTCATTGCAGCTCTATTTACAATAGCCCGGAGATGGAAACAACCTAAGTGCCCATCATCGGATGAATGGATAAAGAAGATGTGGCACATATATACAATGGAATATTACTCAGCCATAAAAAGAAACGAAATTGAGCTATTTGTAATGAGGTGGATAGACCTAGAGTCTGTCATACAGAGTGAAGTAAGTCAGAGAAAGACAAATACTGTATGCTAACACATATATATGGAATTTAAGAAAAAAAATGTCATGAAGAACCTAGGGGTAAGACAGGAATAAAGACACAGACCTACTGGAGAACAGACTTGAGGATATGGGGAGGGGGAAGGGTGAGCTGTGACAGGGCGAGAGAGAGGCATGGACATATATACACTACCAAAAGTAAGGTAGATAGCCAGTGGGAAGCAGCCGCATAGCCCAGAGATATCAGCTCGGTGCTTTGTGACTGCCTGGAGGGGTGGGATAGGGAGGGTGGGCGGGAGGAAGATGCAAGAGGGAAGAGATATGGGAACATATGTATATGTATAACTGATTCACTTTGTTATAAAGCAGAAACTAACACACCATTGTAAAGCAATTATACCCCAATAAAGATGTTAAAAAAAAAAAGAAAAATGATAATAAACAATAAAAATGGGAGGTGGAGAAGGAATGCTCACTTTCTCACCTTTCAGAGTAGAGAGTCAAAAAAAAAATCTGATCTCGAGAGTATTCAGTATACATTGGTAGGAAAAGTTCATAAAGTTACAATAGTTTTTTAATTCATTAAGTTCATATTCTGGCAGTGAAGTGATTTCTTGAAGATCTTTGAACATTGGGATATTTAACTATTCCTTTTGTATTATAAAGAAGAGACTACCTCTTATCATTGGAGAGTTATTAATTCTACGTATTTCTTTTTCTCTCAACAGAATTGTTCAGGAGACAACTTTTGATTTGGGAGGAGATGTTCATAGTGGGACAGCATTACCAGCGAGCAAGGTGGGTGATTGTCACTTACCTGACAGGACTGTGTTTGTTTCGCATAGCAGGACGTCTTTGATGAATTGCTGGTGACATCCTCGTAAAAGTATTGTGCAGACAGACTTTAATAGTGGCCTGCGTGTGGGGGTCCTAACCACTTGTGTTTCTCGTGGTGATACGTGAGCAGCAGACCGTCTTTTTCCCCTAAGGCCGGGAGGCTGTGCTTTCTCTCCCAAGCAGTGTGTCCTAGGCCTGTCCTCTGTGTGGCCAGCCTTTCTCGCTCAGGCCACCCCCGCAGATAGCGGACTCCTGCCCTTCTTACCTCAGCTTGGGTCCCAGCTCCCACCTGCCACTTCACGCCCGTGGGCGCCGTGCTCTCTCTCTTGCACAGTTGGTTTACTTCTGTCCTCGTTCTGGTTCCCGACTGCTGGGTAACACCCCACACCCAGACTCGTGGACTGAAACAGCAGTTGTTTTGTTTCTTCGTAGCTGTGCAGAGCGGCTTGGACTCAGTCTGCTTTGCTGGTCTTGCTGGTGGCTCCTTGTGTGGGACGGTTGGTGGCTGGAACCCCTCGCCCATCTCTCTCCACGGGGGCGGCAGACGTCTTAGTGCCTCACGAGAAGCGCCGAGCTCCCAGGCCTTGCGCCTTCCACCGCGCCGTTCACGGGCCCGGCTCGGGGGCAGGAGCTGCTCGCGTGGGGCTCATCTTCAGGCACCGGGACAGGTTTTTAAAACCCTTCCTTCCTGTCCTCTCCAGCTACTGCCCGTTTCCTACTCATGTTCTCAGCACAGTTTCTGGCAGGGATCATCGGCGGTGGTCGTGTCCATGGCCTGCACTCCATCTCCTTTCCCGCTCGTAGGGCCGCGCCTGTCCCGGGCACCGACGCCCCCGGTTCCAGGTCCCGTGTGGTCTGTCTCGGCGGTGCCAGCACCACCCAGCGGGTGCACGCCCTCCGCCCCAGGGCCTCTCTCGCCCCCGTCTCAGGGCACCTTCCTCCTCAGTCTGATTGGTGGGTCCCCGCCCCTCCCCCACCGCCTGATTCTGAAATTGGGGGCCAAGGCTTCAGACCTCGGGCCCCCCTCTTCCGTTGGTACCTGTTCCCAGCTGACCGTAGACAGTTGGATGCCCTCTGTGCGCGCCACTCCCATCTTGGGCGCCAGCCCCCCAAACTGCAGCACCCGTCACATTCAACGCAGCTGAGACAAATGGAGACTTTCTTTCTCACACACCTTCTCTCCCTCACCCTTCCCCACCTCGGGGCCTGACGTCCCGTCCTCCAGCGTCCTCGGCATCGCTCGACAGAAACCCGTCGCGGGCCGCCCTGGTCCCCCTCGTCCCCTCACCTGGTCACCCCCTCACCCGGTCATCGGCAGGTCCCGCCGGCGCGGCCCCTGCCCTCTGACCCTCCTTTGTCTGTCGTCCCCGGGAGAGTCTGGCTCAGGCTGCAGCCGTCCTGTGGCGGAGGGACCGCAGAGCTTCTTAGACGGCAGCCCCTCCTCTGCTCTTCCCTGGCCCGTCATTCTCCTCCCGGCAGCTGAACCGAGGTATTAAAGACGTGAATTAGACGTTGCTACTGCCCTGCTTCCGAAGCCTCCGGGTGGTTTCTTGTCCCGCTGTCACATGGTCGTCGCTCTGTGTCACACAGCTCCTGGGGCCCGGCCCCCTTCCCTCTCAGCTCAGCATGTGCCACCACTGCTTCTGTTCCCAGGACGCCCACCCCCGTCCCACCCGAAGGCCGGGTGGGCCTGCTTCTCGTGGAACGCTCTTTCCACTGGTCGTCCCCCAGCGAGCCCCTTCTTACCTCGGGCTTCATCTGAAGTCTCCTCCACGAAGGAGTCTTCCTTGAGTGCCCTGGCACTAGTACACACCGTACGTGAAATTCTTTGTGCAGCCCTTGATACCGTACGCTACTTGTTTGTCGATTGACTGTGCCGTGTGAGCTCTGTGAGGGTAGTAGGGCTTGTGTGCTCACTGCTGCACTTCTGCTGCTTAGAAAAATGCCTGGAAGTACATAAAAGCCTCAGTGACAACAAAATGTTAATACAGCCATTGCAATTCTGTAACATAAAAATAATATTACGAGATGTCTACAGCATAAGAAAAAGTATCTTTTACAGAGTGTAGGCTGTGTAATGTCATTTATGGGAAATATAAAGAACGGAAAGATACATGCTGCACAGTGTTAATTCTGGTTGGTAAGGCCAGGATGATTTTTATTTACTTATCTGTGCTCAGTTTCTACAGTAAGGGATGCAGCAAGAAGTCTTACATAAATTTTTTGCTGCAATGGATTTTTTACCTAAATTTATTGATTCTGTTCTGATTGTTTTCTGAATATCAGTAACTCACCCCTCTGTCAGCCACAGGCTGGCTAGGAGTGGGCACTGCTTGGAGGGACTTACATCGACTGCGTTGGGTTGCTTCATAGGTGTCTTTTCCCTGTGTTGATTAAGGGCAGGAAGTAAGCCAGTTTCTGTACTGAATCCTTCACTAGGTTTTGAGCTGTGATGAGTGAATTTTTACATCCTTCCTTAAAACTCACAAGTAAACAAAGAGCCGCCTCTTCACGTTGTGCACATACCCTGTCCACTGTGTCCTGACCCAAGAGAACTCTGGAGTCAGGTCGCCGCTATTACTGGACTTTCTGCAGGGCCCTGGTGTGTGTGCCCCACGCCTGCATGCCTGTGTTTTAGAGCCAGATGGGGAAAGTGGCCGTGTGTGCTGTTATTCTCTCAGTGACTGTGCTCTTGGGCACACTGCTGTGGACGTGGCATCCTTGGCACTGCTGGGCCCCTCCTGGCCTCTGCTGTCCCTCTGCGCCCCCCCCCCCCGCCTCCCCCGCGACGCTGACTGAGTGTGAAGTGTGGTTGGTCCGCGTGCTGTGTTTAAATGCCCTGTGTTTCCCCTGGACTTAGAGCTCCTCCAGGCTGGACGGCGACAGGGGGCTGTCTGCCGCCGGCACCGCCGAGCGAGGGATGGTGAAGCCCATGGTCAGAGTGGAGCAGCAGCTGGACTACCGCAGGCAAGAAAGCAGGTGGGAAATGGGTGCTTTGGAATTGTGAAAGGAGTGAAAGTACACCTGGAGGGGGTTTGGGTTAAAGGTTACTCACTCCAGAGGTTTGGCTGACATTTTTAGAGTGTTAGCAGTACGTTAAGGTTATTTCCTTTTCATGTTACTGAATTGAAAAAAAAATGCTTCATCAACGGTTACATCCCTCGCTTACATGCCACGGCCTCATCCAGTTGAAACGGGAGGCAGTTTGAATTAAGATGTTTCCATGTTAAATGTGCTGCTTGGTAAAAACAGGGAGAAAGGGAATTTTTGGAGGATTTTAATATTTGATCATTTTGATATTTAGATAAGACTAATCATTTGACCCATTTCCAGAGGAAATCCTCACGTGTTTAAAAATACACAGAGCCAAAAATGAGGTTGAAGTTGAGTGTTTCAGAGTTACGGAGTGCCATCCTGCTCTGTCTCACGCCCTGATGGCTCCCTGTTGATAGACGGAGATGAGTCCTTTTCTCTGCTGGCACTGGTCTTGCCTAGTTTTTTTGAACAGAGGACATAGACCTTTTGTTATTTCCTTTTCTTAAGATTTTTAAATATATCTCACCTTAAGTCAGAATTCTGTTTCCTTGTGGCTTCTAAAATTGTTCCGGTGTTGGAAAGCATGGTGGTTCACTGTAGATGTTGAGCCCTCCTCGCACAGAAACGGGGGAGCTGGGTGTGAACGCTCTCGTTATCAGCAGTGGAGCCAGGAGCGCTCGCCTTTGGTGCTTTTCAGACTTTTGATGAGGCCATGCTGACCGTTCCCTTTCGCAGATCCAGTAACCAAGGCATTAGCTGAGGCAGGTCGCTTACCATTTGGTGACAGGCGACAAGCGGCTGATACAGTGCTTAAGTTTTCCATCTTGCAGCAGAAGGCACTGTACATTATAAGATTTTAATAACAGTCATCATAGTAATTAAATCTGTAGACTCATCTGGGAATCTCAAGTTTTTACCTCATTTTTATTATGGGCTTTTGGTCATTGTTCAGTATTTTTTGGTGAATATTTTTACAATTACAATATGAATCATTATACATGGAGAATTTTTTTTAGATATAATAATAAATAGCCTACTTTCTGTGTCCGGACTTGTTTTTGGTAGTGTATTCTAGAATTAGATGTTCAGAACGGTGAATTAGTATTATAAGGAGTTAACCTCCATTTGCTTATAAGGTGATCAAGAGGTGTGTATCGTAGTTCTTAGCCCATAAATACTTGAATAAGCAAATCATCATTAGGGGAGGGGAAGATTGATTAAGCTAATGTTTTTAGGATATGCAAAATTAGTAAGTATACACTTACTAACTTATTCATACAGTTAATAAATATATGATAATATAGTGTCAGAATAGCCATGTGATGATTAATTGTATGTCAGAAATTATTTTTTCCTGTGAGCATATGTTTTAGCTAAGTGTTTTGCAAGGTCATATTCGTTTGTTTTGCCAAGACTTGTTTAAGTTTTATTGGATATAAATATGTGTTGCTTTGTTGATATGAGGACAGTGATGGAAACAGATGGCTCTTCCCATTTTCAGTCTCTGTTTTTCGTGTATATAATACATTGTTCGTGTAAGCAGGTCTTCTACACTGGTATGGTCATAAAAATGAGCGATTAAATACGAACCTTAGTCAAGGAAACAATTATGAATGATGGAAAAGACTCTTAAAGTACCACTGGCACATTTTTAAAATTTTTTCAATGAGAATTTAAATTCCTTATTTTTAATAGATGTGTTGAAGTGATGAAGCATTAAAAAAATTTGGTAAAAATTTATCCAGGTTCACGTTACGGGTATTAAATTGAAAATAACTGCTTAGCTGCAATTTCACATGTTTACAAATACGACAGCATAAGAAAGGCACATTAAAATAATTGAGCTTTTGAATTACTTTATACCTAAATTATTGAGTTAAATCCAAATTAATAAATCATAGACTGGATAATAAACTTTGAAGCATGTAATCTGGTGAAAAGAAGGTTTTTTTGTTTTTACTTTTCATGTTTATGATCGTTTGAACGAACTCACATTATATTTCTCCTTATTCATCTTTTGGTGCGTGGAGATGAGGATGGAGGGACCAGAACATTTGTTGTTGGAAAGGAATCACTTTAGTTCGCCCGTCTGTACCTGCAGATCTGTAGTCAGCCGTGTTAGTCATCCTACGGCGTGGTCGCCGTGCGCGGGGACAAACGCTAACACTGAGTGGTCGAGGGGACCTGGAATGGCAGGGGTCAAGTGTCTAACCTCTATTGGGAGAGAAAGGCGATGTCTAGCTCTTAGGACACTTTTCTTTTTCCTGTGTGAGAGCTCAGTTTCAAGCTCAGTGTGGTTTAGATTTTCTCTGTGTCTCCCAGCAGTGTCTCTTCATTGTCACTTGAGCCATCGCGGTAGCAGGTGCCTGGCAGCCTGATCTCTCTGTTCCACGCGACGTCTTCATCAATAATAAAGAAACAGGGTCAGATCTGTTCTCCTGACGGAAGCAGATACTTCGAGGACCTGACCTCTGTGAGGAGCTGGGACGCGGTCACTCCCAGTTCACTCGTTTGGACGTTTGAATAGGTTCCACATGAAAACCAGTCATCGGGCTGTGTGTTATTTGAAAAAATTTTATATATAGACATTTAAGAAATAGTTGCAGAAATCTGCACTGGTTGTCGGTGATGTTATTAGCTAATGTGACCGAATTTTAAGAAATGGCCATTTTCCTCTTTCAGAACTCAGGACGCTCCTGGGCCTGACCTAATACTGCCTGCAAGCATTGAATTCAGGGAAAGTTGTGAGTAATTTCAGATTCCATTGGTAGTGAATTACTTCTTGTTCCATTTTTCTCCATCTGATTTTCATGGGGTTCTTTTTGTTCTTTTTTTTTCTTCTTCTTTTTTGAAATCTTTTCACAGCTGAAGATTCATTTTTATCTGCCATTATAAATTACACTAATAGCTCTACAGTCCATTTTAAGTTGTCACCTACATACGTGTTATATATGGCGTGTCGGTATGTATTGTCCAGCCAGTACAGACCCGATGTCAGTCCCGCAGAACGGACGCACAAAGTGATTGCCATTGTCAACAAGATGGTGAGCATGATGGAAGGGGTCATTCAGGTAAGCACCGGCCTGCAAAGCCGCGCCAGTTCAATGACCGTGTTTATAATTTTTAAATCAGTTAAGTTAGTTTTTTTAACATTTCAGATTTGTTTACATGTTTGACTTCGTCTTAATTTTTTCTAAAACGAAAGTTACTTAAGTAGGATTAGAAATTGTATAGCTTTAAAAGTTGAAAAGAAATGTAAACTTCTTTTCTGTTTCTTCCCTACAAAATTTAAAATAAGGGAAGAGAAACTGTACATGGTAACATAATGATCATGAAGAAGACCCTTGAAATTACACTAGTTGTGAGAAGGCATTGAGAATTTAAAAAATAATAATAAATTACTGAGGTGAAATTCACGTAACATAGAATGAACCATTTTAAAGTGAGTAGTTGGGTAGCATCAGTACATTCACAGTGTCGTGCAGCCTCCTGAACTTGACTCCATAGCTTTTCCATCACTCCAGACAGACCCCTCACCCGCCGAGCAGTTTCTGTCCATTACCCGCCCCATCAGTTCCTGACACCTCCTTAGAATTTTTTAATGGTTATGAAAAAGGACTTGTTCTTTTATAATGAGCCTACTAGGATGTTGGTAGTTAGCATCTGGGTTTTTTGATAGCAAACTTGTGTAGGTATAATGGACATCGTGACATTTCTCACGATGAAAATCAGATTCAAATTCTTTCATAAACCAGTTTTAAAATTTTCAGGAAATAAGGATGTTCTCTTGGCAGAATGGTTTGTTTCCTTTAGTACTGTCTTGTCTGTAGTTGATAAAATTGGCATAATAGTTTTCCAGACTTTTAGATAACTTGGAGGTTTAAAGTCCTTAAAAGTAAATTTACAGATTTTTTAAAAAAGTGTTCCTAAATCACTTGTCAACACTATTTATCACTCAGCTGTGAAACTCTAGGTATACAATGTTACATAACATGGCTAGATGGTTTGATTGTTTTTCTCCTGTCAGGATACTTTTCAAACTAGAAAAGACTAGTTTGAGGCAGATGAGTCTTTTAATTCCCTCAGAACTGTTTTAAAAGGCCAGACATTTTCAAGAAGGGTTTCTTTTATGTTTGAGTGGTTAGCCTGTGAATTTGAGGAGGTTATGAGTCTTCTACCCAAGTGAGGAAACAGATAAAAAGGAAAGTCGTTTTATTTGGATACCATTTTGTTACTCTCTTATTATTTTATAGACAGATGTGGATTTCCTTTCCAGTTGTCATTCAGAGCCATTGTCTGTCTTCCATCGCGTTTGGATTTCACATTATCAGACTCCCATCAGCAAACTACTTTTGATGGACTTTTCTTAACTAGGCAGTGAAATCACCATTATCAGGACAAGCCTTTCAGACTTCAGATTTAGGTTCAGTATGTGATTGGAGATCTAAAAATCTTCAATATTTAGATCGAAGATCTAAAAATCTTCAATTTTTAGAGAGTAATTATGGAATAATTAAAATTCTTTCATTTTTTGTAAAAACCTACTTTCAGAAAACAAGTTACTCCTTTCTAGTATAGAAATAATACGTCTTTAATACATTTTTAAGTTCTCAGCTCTTACTGTTTTTGCTGGTCTTTCTTGTTTTTCATTCTTATTAACTGATCCGGGAGAATAGACTCTCAAGTTATGTACGTTTAAGTCGTCTCAAACACGAAACGCTGTTAAGAGATGTTAAGAAGTCCTTTTCTTTGTAAATCTTTTAAAGAGATCAGTGTATTCGTTTATTGTAACATCTTCTTTATAGATGAACTCTAGGAATTCCCTTCGTTACTGTGCCAGTTTTAAGAACATGAAACTAATCGTTTATGCCCTGGACTCCCGAAGCTGCCTCAGAACTGTAAATGAGTGTGTAACATGGGAATAGCGTAACTAGATGTCGTACCCTCATGTTAGTGTTTTGATTTTTTTTTTTTTTTTAACTATCATGATTGTTTACAAGTTTCTTTCTCTCGTTCTGCTTGGTTTCCCCGCATCTGTTTTTCTCCAGGAAGTAGACCAGGTTGATCAGGTAGGATATACTGCCGGGAGCCGATCCTCCTGGCTGTGTTGGCTTAGCTGAGTTTCTCATGCTGCTTCCATGTCAAAGTACAACAACAACCGGACCGAGGCTCATAACACTCATTTGGCAGCTGGAACATGCAGTACTAAAACCCTTTTTGGACTGTGCAGCCTTTATCAGCATTTCATAACTTTTGCTTAATGCACTTCAGTGTGGATATGAAATGACAAAAGTTCTGTTTCTTCTCTTTATTGTTTATCCTTGGTTCCTATTCTTTGGATCTCATCTGAGGTTGCCTGGCCTGCACATGTGGTCGGGAGATGACACGATAGATCAGTACTTGATACCGAGTTGCTTGGTGTCCAAGCCAGTGACTTTGAGTATCAGGGTGGCTTTTGGGTAACCATGGATACATGTGTGTATACTTCACAGATTACCAGATAATGCACAATCTCCAATTTGGTGTTGTATTATTCGATACCTCCTTACCCCCACTGATTCCATAAATTGTAGCTCATTAGATCCGTGTGTCTATACATGAAGCCTAAGAAGTTGCAGTGGGTTTTTACTTTCCATTGCTATGTATGTACCCAAATTCCTCTGCAAGTATCTGGTATCTGTGGTAAATACCTTGGTGGAAATGGGAAGGTACTGGTCTATCTTCAGCTTTTCAAGAGCATTCCTTTTTATTTTTCTGATTGTTGTTTGTCCTGTGGTTGCTTATGGAAACGTGTTCTGTCTACAGAAACAGAAGAATATTGCAGGGGCGCTTGCTTTCTGGATGGCAAATGCATCTGAGCTTCTCAACTTCATAAAGCAGGACCGAGATCTTAGTCGAATCACGTTGGATGCCCAGGATGTTCTAGCACACTTGGTTCAAATGGCCTTTAAGTAAGAACATGTGTTTGGAGATGATACTATTCTGTAAAGATATAAATCATGTTTTCTGGTTAAATTTTCAAAACTAATTTTAAGGGTTTTTATTTACCCTAATTGAAGATGGATATCAAGAAGCATAAATAACTATATGCAAAATGTGTTGATTTAATAAATTTAATTCACTCAGCTGTGCTTCAAGAATCCTGAGAGTAGAGCTCTTACATATATTTTTTACATGGAAGATATTTCTAAACAGTCGGAATTGTTTCACTTGTGATGTTATGTCTGGTAATAGCAGGGCGTCATTCTGAGATGATTAAAATTGTTTACGTATTTTCAGATACCTGGTCCACTGTCTCCAGTCAGAACTGAACAATTACATGCCAGCCTTTCTGGACGACCCCGAAGAGAACAGTCTGCAGAGACCCAAAATAGGTCAGGGTTCTCTTCTTCTCCTTCGTCCCCTCCTTCTCCGGTTTGTTTAGCTTCATTTTAATATTTGCTGTATGTGAGGGGGAGGTATTATGAAAGTAACGAGACATCCTATTGGATCTGGCATTCTTAACTAATAAATTGTGATCACCACGTGTCTTGTTTAAGAAGAGTTACCTTGTCGCATCCTGCTGGTGCGACATCAGACTTTCCCAGAGGTCTGTCCGGGTGAACTTACGTAGATACGGTTCGTACCGCTGCGTATTGGTAGCTCGAGACCACGTCACTGCTTCCTGTTGGGATGAGATTGCTGTTCCAAAGAGGTTGAACAGACGTCACGCGCGTTTACCGCTAATCCCGGAGCCCTCTCGGTGACGCAGTGCCGTCTCTCTGCACAGACGACGTGCTGCACACGCTCACGGGGGCCATGTCACTGCTGCGCCGCTGCCGGGTCAACGCCGCGCTGACCATCCAGCTCTTCTCCCAGCTCTTCCACTTCATCAACATGTGGCTGTTCAACCGGCTGGTGACCGACCCCGAGTCGGGGCTGTGCTCCCACTACTGGGGCGCCATCATCCGCCAGCAGCTCGGGCACGTGGAGGCCTGGGCGGAGAAGCAGGGCCTGGAGCTGGCGGCCGACTGCCACCTCAGCAGGATCGTGCAGGTGGGTGGTCCCAGCCCCGCTGCCCCGCTTCCCCGCTCAGTGGCGCGGTCGTACACGTCTCTGGTTCTACCACGGGGGGAACGTGGACTCCGCAGAGCTCAGCACCCTCCTTCTGGGGTTTTCCACATGTACACATAGGTGTATTAGTTTGCCTGGGTTGCTTGAACAAAGTACAACGAATGTGGTGGCTTAAACAGCAGAAATTTATTGTGTCTGGAGGCCAGAAGTCTGAGATCAAGGCCAGGGCACGTTGGTTCCTGCGAGGGAGAATCTGCTCCAGGCCTCCGTAGGCTCTGCTGGCTGTTGGCAGTCTTTGGTGTCCCCGGGCTTGTGGACACACCACCCCTCCCCGCCTCTGCCTTCGTCTTCCTGGAGGCACACCTGTGTCCAAACGTCCGCCTTTTATGAAGACGCCAGACCTACTGACCTGATTTAACTTGATTCCTTCTGTTAGGATCGTGTCTCCAAATAAGGTGACATTCTGAGGTAAACAGGGTTAGGACTTCCCCGTATGAATTTTGGAGGACACAGTACAGCCCGTAACAGGTGGTACTCAGTAGAATAAATACCTTAAAGGGTTTTTAAAATTGAGAATAGTAAGGTATATTTCATAAAGCTCCATACTGAAAGATACAGTCCAATTTGAAAATGGATGATGATGGCCTTTTTAAGAGTACAAAGCCAGGTAACCGCAGAGCAAAGACCTATAGCAGATACACAGATAAAGAGAAAGGAATCTAAGCACACCACTGCAGAAAATCATCAGGTCACCAGGAACAGAGCAAGAGAAGAAGAAAGGGACAAAGGAGTACAGCAGAGCCATGTCCTGATGGCTTAACCAGTTCTAGGAACTTCCTAGGTATTAAGACTAGGAACGGGTATTTTGCAGTTAAGGAAATGAGTATCTAGAGCCTCATACCCTAGGACATTTTTTTAGTATTATTACAGTGTATAATTTTGTATTTTTTTCTCAGTCTCTTAAAAAGATTTAGTTTCGAAAGAGGTTTCTGCCCTCTTACTTTGATTGAATCAGCGAGTTATTAAAAATGTCATTACAGGGACTTCCCTGGTGGCCCAGTGGGAAAGAGTCCACCTTACAGTGCAGGGGACGTGGGTTCGATCCCTGGTCCGGGAACTGGGGTCCCACATGCCACGGGGCAACTAAGCCTGCGCGCCGCAACTGCTGAGCTTGTGCCCCTCAGCTAGAGAGCCCGTGTGCCACAAACTACAGAGCCCATGCGCCCTGGAGCCCGCGCACCACAACTAGAGAAGCCTGCCCATCACCACGGAAGATCCCGCGTGCCTCAGCGAAGATCCCACGTGCTGCAACTAAGGCCCGACGCAGCAAAAAATTAATTAAACAAACAAATAAATAAATAGTGAATCTTTTAAAAAAGAAGTCATTACAATGGTATTTTACTCAGACCTTAGTAATTGGTGATCTTAATGGTTATAATGTTGAAGTTTCTAAGAAGTTTTTTTTGTTTTTGTTTGTTTTTGCGGTACATGGTCCTCTCACTGTTGTGGCCTCTCCCGTTGCGGAGCACAGGCTCCGGACGCGCAGGCTCAGCGGCCATGGCTCACGGGCCCAGCCGCTCTGCGGCATGTGGGATCTTCCCAGACCGGGGCACGAACCCGCGTCCCCTGCATCAGCAGACGGATTCTTAACCACTGCACCACCAGGGAAGCCCTCTAAGAAGTTGTAAATGCTCTCTGAACATAAATTATTGAGTCTCATTATAAATATATATTTTAGTAAAACAGTTCATCTAAAAACTTTTACGATGCTTTGAGTTCAGTTTGACACATATAGGTAACGTTAATGGAGCTGTATTTTCTTAAAAACACCCTGCATTTCAAAATCAAATTAGCAAGTTATTGCAGTTTTACAAATGTTATGTAAAGGGGAATATTTATGAAATACTTTTAAATCACGATATTTCATGTTGCTTATTCTAAATTAGGCAACCACTTTGCTCACGATGGATAAGTACGCACCCGATGACATCCCAAATATAAACAGTACCTGCTTCAAGTTAAATTCACTGCAACTTCAAGCCTTACTTCAGAATTACCACTGTGCACCCGATGAGCCTTTTGTCCCTACAGTAAGTGACAGCACCACACTGCCACTCCATGCGGGCCGTGTCTGCACAGGGAAATGGGAGAAAAAGGAAAATTTATGTCATCAGTCCCCTTATTTCTTTAGTAAGTAAGATGATTCACCGGGTCGCCTCACGAGGCCACTTTTGCTGTTGATGTCTGTATGAGTTAGAGGTCGGTGCAAGAAGTAGAAAGTACATAAGCATGTTCAGTAGAAAGGGGTTTAATTCGGGGAATGAGGTGGTTGGAAAATGGTTGGAAAGCCGGGGCGGGGAGTGAGGAAGCTGCCCTGACATCTGAGTTCTCGGGCGCGGCGCTGTGACCTGAGACCCCGAGTGCCATCCTTGTGTTCACGCAGCAGAGTAGCTGCAGGGGCTCCCCAACCTGTGCAGAGGTGTCTGCCTGGCAAAACCCAGGTCCTTGTCCAGAACAGAGTCTGCTATTTTGGGATGCCTCCTAGAAGGGACAGAGGGTGAGAAACACGGAAAACAGTACGTGCTGCAGGTGGCTCTCTACAGAGAGGAGTGCTGCACGTGCCCTGAGAATTCGGCAGAGAGGCAACCTAGTTGGATGGATGTCTCGATCTCCAGTGTGGGGTTTATGCCTACAGAAGACAGGTACAGAATCGCCCAAACCTGGAAACCGCTACCTGTCCCCGAATAGACCGTGTCGCAGTCCGGTAGAGGAGCCTAACGTGGCTGCACAGCAACGCAGGAAGCCACATACCAGCTCTACACCCTGGGCTTCCATTTGCACGGACTTGGGGACACAGGAGGACGCGGGTTAGAAGCCCGGGTGGCCGAGACTTTGGGGACGGAGGACAGGGCAGTGAGGGCAGCTTCGCCGCAGTGGGTGTGGCTCGGTCCCCCGAGCGGGCTGGTTGGTGGGGGCGGAGTGTTCGTGTGCTCAGCTGTACAGTTAGGATTTGTGAACTGTCCTGTGTGTACGTTATCTCACTAACGGAAAGTTTTTAAACGAGAATCACCCATAAACCCATAATAAGGTAATAACCTCTGCGTAAGCCGGGAATAGATATTTTTGTCCTGATTTTTTTTTACGTTTAACATTGTGTGAGATTTTTCCGATGTCGTTAAGTATAAAAATAAGGCTATTAGCAAATGGATGTTAAAAAATTGTGCAAGGAAAAAACTACTTTTGAGAAGGGAAAAAGACCGTTTTCTTGTGGTCGAAGAATTTCTTTCTGTTTAAAACTACAGGTCTTTGGAAATTAATAATTAATATGGAAGCTGATCTATTAAGAGTCTGTGCTGTGCTAGTGTTTTATCGCTTTACAGACTGATTTGAATTGTTGATAGACTTCACCCTCCCTGCGCGTGCGTGTGTAGCCACGCTACGCGTGCTTAAGCGTTTTGCTGGCAGCTGCTGGTCAGCCGCGCCCGTCGCCGCGCGCCCTCAGCTCTGTGTCTCTTCTCCGACCAGGACCTGACGGAGCGTGTGGTGGCTATGGCGGAGAACACAGCCGACGAGCTGGCACGCAGTGACGGGCGGGAGGTGCAGCTGGAGGAGGACCCCGACCTGCAGCTGCCGTTCCTTCTGCCCGAGGACGGCTACTCCTGCGACGTTGTCAGAAACATCCCAAACGGCTTACAGGAGTTTCTGGACCCTTTGTGCCAGAGAGGTGGGTGGCGGTGCCCACACCTGGCATCCGAGCTGGCCCGCGTGCAGGCGAGCCTCGCGCTCGTGTGTCGGTGTGTGTCAGCCCACCCGCGTCGTGTGCGCCCTGTGTGCTGGAAAAGCTGGGGGTCCAGCGGCTTGGAAGGGAGCGTCCCGTGGGGACGTGGGGTCAGAGGCGTGCAGACCACGGCGTCCTGGGTGTTGCCCCGGCCGCCCCGAGAGCTTGCCTGGTGTCAGGTTACAGCAGGAGGGACCTTGGCTGCCCCTCCCTCCTGGGTTCTGTGTGAGCCTGGGAGCTCCATCTGCCCCGTAAGCGCAAACCGTAAGTGTTGGTGACCCCAGAGCAGGGCAGGCAAGAACAGCACCAGCCTTAGAACCAGACGGCCGGAGCTCTGACCCCACTGTCGCCTTTGACCTCCCCCCGTGCAGTGGGCGTGTCGACGGTGCCACCCCACGGGGCTGTCTTGAGGATTGAGCAGGTGGCTGAGCGTGGAGCCCCTGGCACTGTGGCACGGGGCGAGCCCATGCACGTCACGATGCCAAGCTCGCACACGCGTGTGTGCCGATGCCCCGGCACAGCGCAGCTCGCTTCCCGCTTTTGCTCTGTGCCCTCTGTCCACTCTCTTGTTGATGTGTTCCGAGGAAGACACAGGCCGACCTCGGAGGCGCCGTGGGTCTGGTTCCAGGCCACGGCGATGAAGAGGACGCCGCAGGAAAGCAAGGCGCGTGAAGCTCTGGTTCCCAGCACATGTGCGGAAGTTATGTTCACACCGTGCTGTAATCCGTCTGTTAGGCGTGCAGAAGTAGTATGTCTGGAAAGCAATGGATGTGCCTTCGATGAAAAAAAGTACTTTATCGCTGAAAAATGCTGGTCACCGCCCAAGCCTCAGCAAGTCTTAGTCGTCACAGATCGATCACAGGTCACCGTAACACACATGATAATAATGGAAAAGTTTGAAAGAGTGCAAGAATTACCAGAATGTGACACGCAGACCTGAAGTGGGCAAATGCGGTGGGGAAAGTGGCGTCGATAGCCTTGCCTGATGCAGGGCTGCCACAGACCTTTCCATCTGTAGGGGAAACAATCTTTGCAAAGTGCGATAAAAAGAGGTCTGCCTGTACCACAGTCACACCTGAGCCACGAGCTTTTAAATTAGACCGGATTTCACTTCTAGTCTCTGCTTTTGTGTAATGTGGAGCTCAGATGAGTAGCAGAAGAGATGCAAAATTTAGGAGTTAACTTTTCTATTATTGTTTTTTTTTTGCTTAAATTAAGGTCCGTAGATATATAAATATATAAACTTAGTGAGTGTGACTTTTAACTTCAGTGAATGTTTCACTCACCACAATAGGTCTTTACATCTTCAAAGGTTTTGATCGTTTTAAAAAATTCATTTTGTAAAGGCTGCTGCTTCTTGTAACGAAATGTGTTTGTACAGCAGCTGGCAGACGTGTCTGTAACCCTCCCCGGAGCGCTGACTGAGCTCTTGGTGCTGTCCTGGGAGAAGCACAGGCAGCGTGGGATGTGGTTCTTAAAGCATCGGTGTGTGTGCAGGATGAAGGGGCGGGGGCAGCGGTGGGCTGGCAGAGCCCTCAGTTCAGCCCTGACTCTGCGACAAGCAGGACGGAAGGGAGGGGTGCGGGCTGCAGGCACGTCTGAGAGAGCTTCAGTCGGGCAGCGGGAGTCCCTGAGCCGCAGTGGCCTGAGCGGGGGCCTGGTAGGGAAGTGGTGGCCAGGGCAGCCGCTCTGGGGCCGTGGGGCTGCTTTGGGGTGTCCTCCCTGCTCCCGTGGGCTCCCTGACGCTCACGCAGCAGCCCGGCACCTTCACCGCCGGGCTGGTTCCTGCTCTCCTGCTCTGAACGTCCCCGTCACCTGCCGTTGGGCGTGGCACCATCTCCTGCCAGTCCTGGCCCCCTACCTGCAAGCACACGAGCCGTGTTCCCAGTACTGGACCGTGTGCTGTGCATCCATGTGGTCGCTCCCCGCGTCCACTCCTCTTCCCGCTGTCTGACTCCCGGCAGTGGCCCTGTTTTTCTGAAATTCCAGCCAGCATCCCTTTGTGGACTCAGCCTCTCCCTCACACTGCTGCCACCTTCCCCACCCGTGGTTCTCCCCGTCTTCGGTGATACTTGGTGCCAGCGTGTGAGCCGTCTGTGTGCGTCCAGCAGGACAGGCTGGCGGTCGTCCCTGCTCTCCGCCTGCTCAGTGCCGGGCAGAGGGCCTTCGGGGCCACGTGCCGGCAGAGCTGCTCTTCAGGACCTTGTGAATAAGCCTGCGGAGGCTGACTCACCAGCCCCCGTGGGACGTGCTAGGCGTGCTGGGTACCCAGCTGCCGGCTCCACAGTAGGTGCTGAGGAGAAGGTCTTGGCCAGCCCGGGGGCAGCGCCATCCTGACTGCACGATGCCATTTTTTCCGTGATTTCCCCTTAGGCTTTCCCGAATGATTCGTTGTGGGGCGTACGTGGTATTTCCTCACGGTCTAGGCAGCCCCACGCTGTTTTCACACATCTTAGATGATAATGTAGCCAAGTACAAAGCCGCTTTTAAATAAGACTTACAGAGAACTGGGTGTTTTCTTCTGTGATGTCAGCGGTTTTAATTTTTCATGCTCAATTTTTTTGTAAGCCAAAGAAAGAACTGCTGTGTGCTCTCAATTTATTTTCCTTTGGCTTTTTCGTGTGATACGATTCTATGAGAGAAGCTATAAAACCAGCACGGACTCATACCTGACCTGAGGTGCGTTCCTGATGCTGAGAAAGTAAACCGTCTGTGTGCATATGGTCCAGACGTGCAAACCTGATGTTTAAAAAATTAGAAAATTACAGCTGTTGACGTTTCAAAACCGTGAGAATTATGATTCCCTAAAACATGGGAAAGAAGTAAATTGTACGTAATATTTCAATGAAACTGGATTGAAACAGTGATTTTTTTTTTGAAAAAAAGGACTAAAACTAAGTAAAAATAATTTGTGCCCATATTTTAATTGAGTGTATTTGTGATGTCTTCTTTTCCCTCTACCACAAACAACCTCATAACTGTCCAAAGATAACAGCCCAGGTGATCCTTGCTGGCGGAACACTAGTGTGGATGAGGGTACCAGCAGGGGCCAGCCAGGACCCCACCCCCACCCCCCCAGCACCCAGGTCTTGGGGACCAGGGCGTGTCTGGCAAGCAGCGTGCTCTTCGTAATTGTTAGCTGCTGCTAATAAGACCACTTTGGAGAAAAGAAGAATTGTGCAGGGCCTGTGTGATCTGACTTTGTCACGAAATCTCTGAGAAACTCTGTAAGATCTGACAAATGAGGAATGACGTAGGCTTAGTTTTGTAAAGATGTCATTTGTCCCTGATGAACACATCAGAGATAGTCTTTAAAACAGTATTAAATGATTCTGAATTTTCGTTTGGAAGAAACGTAAGTGAGTGTGACTTGTCAGAAAATGTGGGCAAAGAGTGACGAGAAGGAGGCCAGTCCTACCCCAGAATTGCTATACGAGTGGAATAAACCGTTTGCCCCAGCCTGTGAGCCTGTGCGCAGACGTCTGTGCTGGTGCCGTTCTCTGGCCCCTCTTTCCTTTCCTGTGTTAGAGATTCTCAGCGTGACTGAGGAGCTCTTAGTTGAGCAGAGCAGGCCAGTCTGCAAGGAAGCAATTTCCGTGCACTTCTGTAATTTTTCATCGATGTAAGGGAAAAAGTCTTCGGAATAAAGAAGAGGGGAGACCGATTTCACTTCTCTGCTTGGTGCTGAAATTCCACTGGACCAAAGCAAATACGCAATTTTAAATGTCTGATGATTCCGTTTTCAGAGAGAGTAAAAGTAATTAAGGAAAATAAATGTTGTCATGAGGTAGCATGCAGTTACTGCTTTCTCTTGCTTCCCTTGTTGGAGATGATGGGTCCGACGTGGTGTGCTTTTCATTCTTAACAGTTTGCCTGTTTTCTCCCCAGGATTTTGCAGGTTAATTCCTCACCCACGTTCGCCAGGCGCTTGGACAATATATTTTGAAGGTGCAGATTATGAGACTCACCTCACGCGGGAGAACACAGAACTGGCAAGTATCGTGACGGTGACAGACGGACAAGGAAAAGAAGCGGGTGCCTTACGATTTGAAAATGTTTTTTTTTTTTATTTTCAGGCCTCGTCTATATAGTTTTGTCTGTAAACAAATGGTACTTTTAAAAATAAAGCATACTTATACCCACAGTTACGTCAACCGTAATACCTATTTAAAAATATATATTAATATGGTAGTCTCAACGGGTTTTATTAGAGAAGTTTTCTTTGGTAAAAGTATTTTCTTTTTTCTAGCCAGTTCTGCCTCGTCTTAAATGTGTGCCAAATCATTTACTAATACTTTGTGTCTTTCTGAAAGAGCGGTCATCCCAGCATTCACTAGCCTCATAGATTTTAGGGAGAATTCTGCCTTGCTTCCCACAGAGAGTTTTAAACAAGAAAGGGTGCTTTTCCTTGTCTGAGAACGTGATACCAGACCAGAGTTGTCATATGCTACGTACACTAGCAAGTCATTCCAGGAAAAATACAAACAAATGAAATTTTTCCTTTTAGGACTTTTTTGTTCCATTCCATTTACCTTAAACGTTACCTTAAATGTAATTGCCTCTTAAGCCACGTAAGGGTTCAGGGGAGCCAAGCAGAGTGACCACACGTTGGGCAGGTGACTGTGGGCGGGGTCGGTGTGCTACGTGCGACGGACGTGGCAGTCAGTCCCCTGGCCCTGATACCAGTGTGCCCAGGCCAAGATTCAGGGATTCTCGTCTATGAAAACCAGCCACAAGTCTTCTGAAGCTTTAGAAACTTCCTTGTGGTGTCCTAGCTTATTCCTTACTCAAAACATTGTGCCTAGTACTTACCTAATTTCTAAGAAAACAGGAGTATGCAAGGTGACAACACTTAATGTAAGGGGAGCAGTGTGATGCGTTTTGTATATTAAATTCAAAGTAATTATTTTTGCTTAGTAGCAAACTTTAGATTTGAGCATCTCCAAAAATTGAATTAGTTGGTGATTGCTGTTACACCAAGTAGATCACATTTAACTACTGATACAGTGAATGTGCCGCTAATGCTCTTTACTAGCTGTTGTTTAGCTAATAGCAAGTAACAGGAGCAATTTCTAATTCCCAGATGTTATAGAAAAACAAGTACCTTAGATGGAATCACTGATTCTTTTCAACTTTCTAGTTGATTCATGGATCCCTGAGAAGATTTCAGGTCTTGATATTTTAAAAAGCTTTGTCACCTAATCTTATTTATTTCCCTTAAAATATTATCATCCAGACTTCGGTTCTCAATTAACAAGCCATGTGTACAGTCACCACTTCTTGGCCACGTGCCTGCATACTTACGTGTTTAACTGATTAAATTCTCTCAGTGTGGGCACTGGGAGTTTCTTCTTTACTTTTGTTGGCTCTTTCACATGAGGCAGGACATGTACAGGAGATGTAACTTCAGTGGCTAATTTCACTTGCTCATTTGTTGGTGGATCTGTTCAGAAACTGGCCTGTCTTATTGGTCGCTAAGTTATTCCCCAGCCACGGCCTTCACAGAAACATGCAGAACTTTGGGTCCCACTGTCTGAAGCCTGTGGCTGCTGTATTTTTGCTGTTGAATTTTCTTAAGAGACAGAGATGTGAGATCATCTTTGTCGTCACTGTTTTTGCAGTCCTCCCCATAGACAGTGTAAAGTAAGTGTAAATTTCTTTTTTAAAAAACACCTAGTAATTGGTGCTGAAAGATCATAAAGTAAAAATTTAATTTTCTCTTTATGATCAGGTTTTTCTCATGTGATAGTAATGCAAGGTTAGTTTTATTTTATAAATTAAGTTCTTTAGATAACATTTATATAGCACCTGTGATGATTCATCTTTAAGGCTCTGGAGTCAAGACTATTGGTATTTACTTTTCCAGGTCACTCCAGGAAGAGTATCTGTGTTCGTTGATTTTTACTGTTTCCTTTTCCACTCTCTGTTGGGGTTTCCTCTCCCCACTACCGGAGAGAAAACGAGTGACCGAGTGGCGGTACTTGTGTTTCAGGCCTGTAGTAAAGTTCTGTTTCCATCTCTTAGGCTCAGCCTCTGAGGAAAGAACCTGAAGTAATCACGGTGACCCTCAAAAAGCAGAACGGGATGGGCCTCAGCATTGTCGCAGCAAAGGTAGGACGGGACAGGTGGTGGCCGCGCTGCCAGCGTTCATTCTTGAGGCCTTGGGCCAGCAGCTGTCGGGGCCGAGCTGCGCGTCCGGTTCTGCGTCTGGGAGGGGGCGAGGGCGTGGGAATGGAGCCCCGGGCTCGCTGCGTTCCCAGGGTGACTACTCCGCGGACGGGCCAGGGTGCGAGCTCCCCAAGCTGGGCAGGTGGTGCTCCCGGGGAGCCAGGGCGGGAGGGACCCGACACCCTGCTCCCGTGTCCGTGTGCAGCGGGCCCCCGGGTCCCTGGCCCCCCACAGGCTGCAGCTCCTGGCAGCAGGGGTCCTAGAGGCCTCGAGCCGCGGGCACTGCAGCAAGGGAGCATCGCACGGCACCGCTCTGTCTGGGGAGAGCCGAGGGGAAAGAGGGCCTTCGCTCATTTTGAAGACTCTCCATTGACAGGTGGGGTGTTCTGTTTCTCAGAGAAACGAAAGGGCTTGGAAGGAAGAAGGGACATGGTGCAACCGAGATTCTAGGGACTTGGTGTGCAGGAGGCAGGACAGCACTGGGACTAAAGCAGCCAGAGGAGCTGAGCCTTTGCATTAGCACGTGGAAGGCAGGTGTGGTCTGAAGCACCGCATCACCTGGGCTCACCCAAGGAGGCCAAGGAGCCAGGCCAGAGCCTCGCAGGCCAGGACTCACGCTCACCCCTTCCGATGCGGTCCCGCTCGTGGGCCACGTTTCCCGCCTGTTGTGATCAGGTGGGCCCACAGCTCAGAACGCTGGGGGATGTGAGCGGGAAGTTACAGGCTGCAGACTGTTCTCCTCTTTGCTCAGCGAGTCAAATGCCCATTTTCAGGGGGGAAAAAAAGTTATTAGGATAAAAATTACCCCACCACACTCCAGTATACAGGAAAAATGTAACGCTCGCATTTTCTGATTTTTACATGTATATATGTATATAAAAATCTTATTTCAGATACTTGTCTTACTTGAGATTTGAAATTCTCCTATCTCTTTCAATACAAAGCTACCTGTCTTCTGTAGGTTTAAGTAGGATCTACTTAAGTGTCTCTGGGCCCTTCCCTCTGGCCCGAGTCCTGAGTGTGAAGAACAGTGAGGCACCGCGTGGGCACCCCCCAAACCCCCTCTGGCCAGCCTCTGACCTCGCCCGGCTGCCAGGTGTCCGTGGGCAGCTAAGACAAGGAGCCAGCCAGGCTGAGAGTCACCGTCCAGCCTTGTCCCTCTGCCTGCGGTTGCCGGCGAGAGGCAGGAGCGAAGGGCGCCAGCTCCAGGGCTCCGCCGCGCCAGGTGCATGGCCGGGGTCGGTGAGGAGCAGCCGCAGGAAGCCCTCTCCCTGCCAGCGTGGAGTCGGGGTCAGCGAAGGCCCCCGAGGAGATGCCTCGCGTGCTGGACCTCGGAGGGTGAGCCGTGAAGCCTGGCGGAGGGGCGGGCACAGACTTTGCGGCCCCAGGGCCAGCACGCGGAGGCGAGGGGAGCCCTTGGAGGCGGCCCGAGAGCAGGCAAGGCCAGACGCCGCGCAGCAGGGCCTGCAGGCCCCCCGTGGGGCCCAGGCGGGCTCACAGCGGGTCCCCAGGACACTGATTCCAAGAAGCCCGAGGGCTTGCTGCAGTTGCAGGCTTTAGAGGGAGTAGCCACTGAAGGGCTCACGTAAGACGTGGTGGCATCAGAGTGTGGTCCTGAGAGTTTATTCTTCCTGCCTTGGAGAGCGTGGTCCAGGGGGCTCAGAAGTGCAGCCAGGGGCTAGTGAGGGAGCTACGCGTGGTTTTGCAAGTGGGAGGAGTGTCCGCTCAGCGGGGGAAGGAGGTGGTGGCGGAGACGGAGGACGGGCAGCCGCGGCAGCACGTTTACTCGTGGGCCAGTGTGGCGTTGCTGGGACAGACACCCCTGCAGGCAGCCGGGCCCTGGCTCGTCTGCTGCTGCAGGGCTGCCAGCTTCCGGTGCGTCTTGGGCGCTGATGTGTATTCGTTGAATGGCAGCTTTCACCTTGGTTGCTGAACTGGGTGTATGTAGTGAGTGGAAGAGAGAAATATCAGTGTATCCCGGGTCTGTCTTCAGCAGCTGGGCGTGTGGGAGTGTTTACTGAAGGTGGGACTCCTGCAGAGGAGCACGTTTTGGCAGGGAGAGAATCGAGAGCTCAGTTTTGAGCGTGTTGGATTTGAGAGCTGGGTGGATGCCTGTTGAGCTAGGCAAGCGAGCGCATTATCGCGTGCATCGCTGGATACCCGAGTGTGGAACTCGGAGGGAGGGTCGGAGGCATAGGGTGCTCTAAGGGGGTAAGAGCGAGCTCTAGTAACCGGATGGCGTGCCATTTTCAGGCATGAAAAGTGTGTCAATGTCTGTTCTTACAATGAGACACGACTCCAACAGTTCACCTGTGGACTCCATGGCTTTTTCTCCAGCAGAGCTGTAGGCTCTCTGGTGCTCACGAAGGAATGTTGAGCAGGAGTGAACAAATCCTGTAATGGGCCCACGTTGCTGAAACGGCGCTCTGTGCTTGATGCCCGGCTAGGGCTGTGTCGGCCCTCGTGACAGCACGGGTGGCCTCGGGAGAGTCCAAGGCCGTGCAGCGAGTGCGGGCAGCCGGGGTGCTTGCAGAGCTCTGCGTCCTCCATGGTGGGCGCCCGGGCTCAGACGCCCCCCGCTGCACACGTGCAGCCCGGAGCAGAGCGCTTCCCGCCACACGCTCAGTGTGCCCGCACCTCGAGTCTCGGGGAGAGGAGCCTGTGGGGCGTTTTCAGCTGGTCCCTGATGATCACACAGCGCCGTCATCTGTCATTTTGTTCTTGTTAAACACAGAAGAGCCCGCAGGCCGCTGTATTAAATTTTACCCCCGTCACTCTTGCTTGCGTCTGTGTGTTTTGGTCTTTTCCGTGAGCTCCTGCGGCCTTTGTGTTCGGCTCCGTTCTTCTTTACTTCTTCCTAATTAGCATGTGGCCTCGCGGCCGTGAGCCTGGGCAGGGTTCTGATGTCAGCCCGCCGACGCCCCTTCCAGGCTGCGGCTGTTTTATGGAATCCAGATGCCTTGGAACCGCCGTGCGCTGCCCACTCTGTGAAACCCTGCTTTGGGGAAGTTTGGGGCGCTACTTCTCGCTCAGCTGAGGGCCGGCACAGTGCTTCCTGTTTAATTTGGATTTTTTAAATAGAAACCGTTCCCTCCTTTTCATATTTCTGGCTCTTTTTAAAGTTTAATAAAGTACAAAGTAAATGAAAATCTGAGCTTGCCCGGTTACGTAAGAGTCCAAGTGTTGCATCGGTCTGGCTGGAGTTGCTCAGTGCCGTCCGGGTTGTGGCGTCCAGCTCAGCTTCGTGGTGGCGAGCCTTGAGAGGCCAGCTGTGTGCCGCTGTTGCCACCGGGGGAAGTAGACAGTTGTGTTTCAGCTGGAGAAGCTGGTGCGCCCGAGAGACCAAAATGTGGCTCTCTGTTGTCGGAAGAGCAGAGTCTGTGGTGAGTCTCTTCGGGGGCTGTGGTGGACGTGGATGTTCTCTTTAGAGGCTGCTTTCCCTCCACGGTAACGTGCTTCAACCTGTCCGGGGTTCACTCGCCCGTGAAGCAACCGTGTAAGGGAGCTCGTAATTACATACCCAGATGTTTACTGCTCTGTAGCCGAGCACTATGGATTCCTGAGGTTCGTGAAGCTCTGAGGCTTCTGTGTACTTTTTATACAAGAAAAAAACAGTAATCCACTCCTGCCGGGTATAGTATAGTGAAAGTTGCTTGAAATAGTGGTAGCTGCTGCTGTAGAATTTGCCAAGGACACGCAGGAATCTCCACACTGCAACTTCTTTTTGGCCGTTTTTAGGTGCTTTTTACTGCAGGCTTTCTCCAAAACCTGGTTTTTCTAAAAGTGAACATAAAAGTGACAATTTGAAAGGTACTTAGGATATTTTACTATTTTATTTTAAAATGAATGGTTAATTGAATCTTAGTTTGTGCTTTGACTATATACGGTTTTTAAGTTTTTAAATCTTAGCTTAAAACACAAAATAAAATGCCTGTGCCGTAAAAAGGAGAGGATAAAAGCAGTGTTTGTTGATAATACTGCCTTTTCACCACTTAAAAAGTGAGTTTGAACTACAGTTTGGTCCTTTAAGGAATTTGAGACCTTCACCCTTGTGTTCCTTAGTGACCTTATTGGGACCAGGTGGGAAAGACCTAGTCAAAGAAATGAGTTGGGAAATTCTCAGTTCCCTTTTAAGATCAATTCCAAAGTACCAGGTGACTGCAATTTCTCCCGTGGACATGCCAGGAATAACTTTCCATTAAGTTGTGCGAAACGACCGAGTGCCCTGCGTGGCTGTTGGCTTATGAATTTGGAAACAATGTTTTATGTTTCTGTCCTAATAGTAAATTATATAAAAGAGCAGTGTTTTACCTATACATTTACAGTAGTGGCCTACGTGCAAACTTCTTGGGTCCACCGAAATAACTGAATTCAATTACAATATTAGATAATGTAATCGGAAGAGTCACATTAACCCTCTAAAGCAGAGCCATCTTTTCACGTGGTGGTTGGTACACGTAGAGAACGACGGTATTTGTAGGGTCCCCGGGTGGAGGGTTTGGCTGTGGAGCAGCCCAGTCTGGCGAGGCCCAGACAGCCCCGGGGCACCTGCCTGAGTCGTGCAGGAACCGACGGGTCACCTTCCTTGTCTCACTCTTGAGCCACAGACGCTCTGAGGCTCCTGGGGAAGCTGCCCCTTCGCCCTGGAGAACCCTCCTCGCACCCTGGGTCGTGCGCCCACGCTTCCGGGCTCCAAGGCCTCCTGCAGCCCATCTGTAGGGCCCAGTTCAGAATCAGTGTGGTTTGCTTCCTTTACTTTATGGAGAGTGAAAAGATAGACGACACAGTGCTGTTTGTTTGTGCTTTATGCAAACGGTAGAAGATGGGCAGAGCTGACCCTGGAGCGTGCGTCTCTGGCAGAAAGGGCGCTTACCACGCGAGTGCCGTCCAGGCTGCTAGGGTGGAGAGTGTCTCAGGCATGAGTTTGAAAACTGACTGTTTCA